CTGGAGGTAGAATGCGCACCTCTGTATCTTCCCTCATTCAGACTTATGAGTATAACTTTCCTAATCCTTACTTAATCAATTATCTCTCCCAAAACGTGCCAGATTGCTTTTATTCCCCCATTCATGTGATGCCAGTAGTCTAAAGGAAGACCCAGAAATAACTTTTACGAATCAACTATTTTCGGTGATATATCCGTAGGTGTTGAGAGAGCGAGTGGGCAAGATTCTCATGCAGGGGCTATTGGCCAGGAAGAGCTCATTTAAAGTGTCACATTGCAGCGGGCATGTTGCGTATTAAATGGGCACATCCAGTTTTGTTTGGATAATTCTAGGGTGAAGCTGCCTCGCAACTGGCAACGCTTCTCACTACCCTATACCTTGTTTTTGTTTACTTTATTCTTATTCAACGGGATCCACATCTTTTTTTGTTGGTGTTTGGCTCAACTCCCTGCCTGCTCTGTAGGATAGAAAGCTACCTTGCGATGCTTTTGAAGGTGTGCTAGCCCCATACTAAGGTAACATACTGAAGGCTCTATTACCCCTCCAAGGATTGCAGCCTAGCCGAGGCCATCATTCAGATTCCAGGAGGATTTATCTGACGATGTCTGGTGCCTGGAGTTCTTGGCACGATCGCACCAACTTATCGTTATAAGATCAACTTGAGGTGGCTTTAAGAAAGAGCTCCTGAGATGTGTTAATTTGCAGGTCTAGGTGATCATCTTCATTTACTAATCCTCCTATGAGTCCTACAGGGTGTATGCTTAGAACGCATAGAGCGCCTGGAAAGCATTGGCCCAAACACCTTGAATGCACCGGATATTGTGATCTGCAGGTGTTGTTTCATAATTGTCAAGTCTTTTCAATATTTTCCTTCAACATAATATGCACACCAAGGAAAGAAAATGGAGCAGTAGGAATAGGCATCTCACAAAGTTGATCTAACATTATAGGTAGTTTGCCTAATTCCTGGAACAAAATGAAGAAAATCCTCAGGATTATTGGACCCATGCAGAAAACAATGCTATTCATTTCTGGAGTACGTGCTACCAAAGCCATCAGTGACTGATGCATTACACTCCTTAAAGAAAGGCATGTACATCTTCTGAACTTCATCTAGCATTATACTGTACATTGATATTGTCAAATATCTGTACAAGGTTTGAGAAAATTTCTTGGGATCGGTCAACTGTTACAAAGGAAATGATGCTCTGGATTCTTTGAGTATTTGGTAACCCTATTACCAGTCTCTAAAACCTTTGACAGCTTTAAGAAACCAATAACTTGATCTGCGGTATATTGTCAAATTTCTATAACAAGTGGAACAGAAAACTTTGGATTTCTTCTTGACTGTCGTATGCAGGAAATGGTGTTCTTGCTCTCTGAGTACTTCATAGTATTACAGTGTTTGGATTTCATCAAGATATCAATCATTCCTATGACCAAGGAGGTCTGACAACTCCATAGTGGGACTACCTATAAGTCCTTACCTAACTTTGTCTCACAGGCTGCTAGTCTGTAATTATTCCCACACAGGTGTCCAGGTGGGAATATTAGGTTTCAAAACACAGAGACAGACCTCTATCTATCCCCTTCCTCAATCTCTCCCTGGTCACATCGCGCTTACCCCACGTCCGTCCCTACTGGATCTGCTGTGCTTGCTTGGAGCGTTTACTGGCCACCGAGGAGTGCTGTATTGGCACACGATTTCTGTGATCACATGTGGATATCGTTATAGTGATTAGGAGCAGAAACGGTAGCAGGATGTCCAAGAAGTTAGTAACAGTATTGTTGCTTTTCATGTTGTATTAATCATCATCTTTGTTTCATTTAATATCCTGAGCTGTATATAGTCGCAGTACATGCATGCATCATTTTGTACAACATACAGTTTAAGATTTTAATCCTTTTTTGGGGGGTGACAATTTGAAGATAGTACTACAACAAGTAACCTGACATTTCCTTTGGCGACAATGGCTCTGGCTTTATTTTGTCAAAGATACAGGGTTAGTGTCAGGATTTTTGTTGGGTTTAGAAGGTCTATAGTACATGTGGTTAGGTATACAGTGTAGTGTTTGATCCAAGGTTGAAGGTTAGGAAATCAATTTGTGTAGGATATTGACTGCTGAGCATTTGTCGCCGAAGCATGTGGCGTAAAACCGTACTACAGGATCGTTTTTGTATTTAGATCAATGGGTGATTCATGGAATGCCTAGGATTTGGGTCAAACTGGTCTCATTTCCCTTCATTTCCCGTGCAGACCAACGGCCAAGTGTCTCCGGAGATCTCTCTCATTCACATGAAAGATTGAAAAGGTTCATGATTGTGAGACTAATGACATAGAGGTATAATGATGTATTTCTTGTTTATTCACTTGACTCTCAATCCGAGGGTTGAGGGTTCCAATCCCAGCCCAGCACAAACTTCTTTTGACAAGACATTAATTCACGTTTGCCACTCTCCACCCAGGTGTAAATGGGTACCTGGCAATTGCTGGGGTAATCATAATAACAGGGTAGTAGTAATACTGATGTGGCTACCTGTGGTAGATCAAACCCTATTTATTTTTATTATTACCATTGGTTTTATTGTTGTTGTTGTTTTTGTTGTTAATTTCATTAATGTTAATAAACTTGATAATACAATGTTTTAAAACTAATGATACAATGATAACAAAACACAAATTTACATTACATGGCTTTCTTTGGAGACAAATCGACAACATAGTCATGAGGTTGTCATGTCACTTCCTCAATATTCTCCTGTTGTTTCTATTTCAATTTGGAAAATCTGAAAATTTCCCATTTGTAGAGTCCATCAGAATTTATTGAGGAATCAAGGTATTAGGCCTACCGGAAGTCAAAGATTATTCATTAGATATTTTGAATGACTTTAAATAAAAATCAGCTGGAGTTTTAGGTCATGGGAAACTGTGTTATATAAACTGTATACATTCTTGCAATGTCTTGTGATGTAAAAAGCTATGCATTGCAAATACTTGCAACATGGAGAAAGACAAAAATCCTGACATATTTGAATAGATGTGTGTATTTTCATTGTGCCATTCATGAATACAAATCTAAAGTGAACATGCATAGTGTAATTTAGTGCTGTAACATCACGGATATCTCCAATTCCGTTTAACCGCCAGTCAAAACCGGACGGTTTTCGGTTAAACGATTTAAAAAAAGAAAAAAAAAAAAAAAAAGGAAGAAAAAAAAAAAAAAAAAAAACGGGAAAACGAAACCGTCCAATTGAAAACGGAATCCGCCATGGGCAGTCAGATACCGGACGGTTAAACGTTTGACTACAGCACTATATAATCGCTACTTTTACCTGCATATTGGATTAGCAAAATGTTTAGATTGTGCATGAGCATTTTCATCCATAGTGGTTCAAGTAAACTATTTTGTTATTAAAAGGAAATGCTTCTTATGTATACTCTTAAACATGTGCATAGCAGAATTGAAAGAATGATGCTGTTTTAGATATACTTCTAAAAAGCTCATGATCTTGATATACACTGTATCACACAAGTTTTACTGTAAAGCAAGAAATTGTGCAACCCAAAGCTTTCTGGAGTTCCAAATAATGGTCATTTTTCAGGGCAAGAAACTGTTACAAATTTCAAATATTTTAAATCACACCACTTATAATTCAAAGATTTATGGCATTAGAAGTTAGGTAACCAAAATCCACTTGCGAAATTCACAAACTTTTTATGAATCGTTTTACAGTAATTTTTCAAGTCTTTGAGGTGTCATGGTCTAATGGATATGTCGTTGGACTGTTGATCACATTCGAGTCCTGCCATGGCACTAATGTCCTTTGGCAAGATGTTTATCTACATGTACATTTGCCACTCTTCACCCAGGTGTTAGATACATGTAGGCACTGGTAGGAAGAAATTCTGGAATGTCGTGAGCACTGAAAATGTGTAGCTTAGCAGAGTTGGGGTAATGTTGGAGCACCTTGCATGGTTCATATGCAGGTGTTGTGGTCTAGTGGATAAGTCACCCACTACAGATCACAAGACGTTAATCTACATTTGCCACTCTCCACCCAGGTGTCAATGGGTACCTGATATGTTTGAGCCCTAGTTACTTTGGTAGCTCAGCTACAACCAGGGTAATATGTGTAAAGCGCCATGAGCGTCAGAGCCTGGCGGATACCGGCGCTATATAAATATCCATATTACTTGTATTATTATAATGTATGTGCACATTAAAATATCCAATATTAGTATTATTATTATTTTTATTAGTATAAAATTTCATTCAAGTTGGTAACCACTATTATTTCCAAATGACTAACACAACTTGTAAACAGGGCCTTTAATCATATTAACTGACTCAGGGTAAATTCCCTAACACCGTTGAGTCTATCCGTGACCCCGGTTCAAGCTGCTATAGGAAGTTATCGCTGTTACACCCACATTAGTCCAGAGTCGAGGGTGATATTAGTTGAGTTGACCATTAGAACTTTCTTTCCCCCTTTGCATGGGGCACCCTTTTTGGGATTACCGTACGGATTAACACATCTGCTTTGTGTTGTTAATCATGCTTTTGTAGTCACTGAACCGGACCCATTCAGACAAGTTTAAATATTTGTTTTTAAAAGAAAAAAATATTTTATACTAAATAACAGTGTATGATGAGTAATTTGAATTTTTCTTGACTGAAGGTCATAAAAAAGTTGAATTTTCAACAAAAAAAAATTGTTCAAATAAAAATTAGGTATAGGATCCGGGTCCATTTTCTGATAATAATAATATTGGATACTTAAAAGCGCTCATATTCACCATGCAAGGTGCTCAAGGTCTATCGATATTACCCCTGTTCTAGCTAGGCTACCGATTTCCGTGCTGACAGCATTCAAGGAATTCCTTCCTTCTACAGTCAAACCTGTCTACAGCCACCGCCCAAGGGAAACACAAGAAGTGGTCTTTGTAGACAGGTTCCTTAAGTACATGTTTCAATGAGAAACCATTTTCAAGGGAAACAAAAAAATGTGGTCCTTGTAGACGGGTGGTCACTAAAGCAGGTTCGACTGTACTACCAATTCATCACCTTGATGAAGAGTGTCAAATATAGATTGACAAAGAATACCTGTGCAGCACCGGGCCTTGAACCCATGGCCTACGTATCTCCAATCAAGTGTTTAAACCACTCAACAGCAGTTTTTTTTAAACATCTTTTCTGTGTGAACATGGTGTAGTACGATAACCGTATAACTGAGCAGGGCTTATGACTCTCCGCCAACATGACTTGCCAGCTTCAACTTGATGTGGCCATGGAAAAAATACAACCCTTAACGTGTTATGGAAGAAACTCCCCCTTTTTTCTTTAGATTGTGTTCATACATATAGTTGTAACAAACAATGTGTATGCCTCTTTTGCTTGACAGTTTTACAGTTATTCACTTCATAAAGTTATATGTGTATCTCTCGTACAAAAGAGCGTTAGCCTCTCACTCTCTGCAGAGAGTTGCCCAACGTCCACTTCATATGATACACTCTCCACACTTAGCCTTTAACATTTAGCCATGTATTAGTAACGCATCGCTCTTGGGTTAAGGGCTTACATGTATGGACCTACGAGCTGGAGCCATAGCGGTGAAGGGGAAGTGTTTGGGTACCCCTTCTTTGGTTAAGAGACGATCTGCCCTGCTGAGTAATAAGGCGTGTAGTCCGTGGTCTGACAGGAATTGGGAAGATTCTAATCTGGAGTTGTAAATCCTCAGAGTGAAGAAGAGATTGTCAGTTTAGATTCAAAGACAGTTTAGATTCCATCTTGGCTAGTCCTCCATGTATACCCGAAGAGCTAACCAAGGATACATGTCGCACACACCGGTTTGAAACGATTATACAACAACCAGGAGGACTTGGGCCGGGTTAAAGGATTTGGATTTGTTGTGGTCATTCTTTCGCCTTGCATTGCTATAGTTACAAATCAAAATGGCTGCTATGTGTTGAAGCTTGTGAACTATTCAGCAGAAGTCTAACTTTTTATGTAGTACAAGGATTATGATTGGGTGAGTAGTACTAGCCTTTATTGAAAAGCTGTATATTAAATATTTAAAAACAAAAATTATTAATGGAGAAGGAAGAAACAAAATCGTGGAAGAATGGAAGAAATGTCTGCAGAAAAGGCTTCAGCTGCTCTCATATTCAATATATGTATCATGTACAGTGTGGTGGGAGGGTGATCTTTTCTTCTTATCCCCTTCAATTTATATTTCCTGTGTGGTATTAAAGGGCGATCCAAACTTTGTAGTAATTTAATATGTATGCAAGTGGAGAAATAAGAAAAACAGAATGGCGGACAGCCTGATGGCGGAAAGTTTATAACATATTCGGACCAATAATAAGGAGCATTTGAAACATGTGTTCTTTAAATTTATGTGAGTTCGAATTGGCAATTTGATCACTGGATTGTGACGTATTCTTGGACTCTCCCTTTTTGTCATGTACAATAAATATCATAAATTCATGTCTTTCTCCCAACTGCCTTCTCCCATGGTGCACATCTCAATATTAATATTATGGGTAGCATATATTATTTAAGATTCTCTGAAAAGAAAAGACCCTCCGAAGTCATATACATTATGACAAAAACTTGACATTTTTATACCGTAAATCTCTGTGTATAAGGCGCACCCCTATTTTGGGGGAGAAAAAAAAACAAAAAAACAAAAAAACAAAAAAACAAAAAACTTTTTTTTCTGTACCTGTGTATAAGATGCACCCCCGGCTTTCAATTTTTTTCAGCGGCAAAAAAATGCGCCTTATACATGGAGATTTACGGTAGTCATTTTGTACGTTGGAACAATTGGGAAAGTTGTTGGTACTTTGTCACAGTAACTCTGCTGATTCAGCCTACCGAAAATAGAGTGATTACAACTTTCAAAAAATTAATAACTATTACATTATTTGTCAATTTCTATTCAAACATCTGCTTCTCTTATGTTTTCTGCTGTCTTTTAAAGTAATTTATTATTAAGGTTAGCTGCAGCCAGTTTCCATTTGAAAAGTTTTAAAATACATACACTTAGTTTGCAGCAAGAAATTCTCCAGGTTGAAGTGAATTTGGGTCGTTCTATTGACGAGGATCACATTTTTAATGGACTTCACTCCCAAGTGAATATCTGATATCGCTTCATCAATCATTCATTGTATTCATTATACCCATTATATCAGCATCAGCATCACTACACAAGAGATGGGTATCACATTCCTGCTTATCTAGGAAACGTAATTTTCATATCTGGACGATCTCTATAATAGAAAAAAGGTCAATAATTCTAGAATTGTTGCATGCATACATAATCATATCATTGAGGGGGAAGTGCGATGGGGTCTGCATTCCCCTCTCCAGAGAATCTCAAAAATCTATGTGTATTTTATGTTTTGATATTTAGGAAAACTTAATTTTACATTTGATATTTTCTTATCTGGACAATCTGAAAACAAGGTCAATAATTGTAGAATTGTTGCATTCATATTGTACAAGATCATTTCATGGAAAGGGGGGGGGGGGGGGGGGGGCTGGCATTCCCCTCACCAGAGATTCACAAAAATCATTTTATTTCATATTTATATATATCGATCTGGACAGTAGTGATAAGGAGTAACAGACCTACATGTACATGTACATGTAATGTATCTGTGATATACTGTGAAAGTAGTCCATTTCACGCAATGAAACTATAAAACTTTCAGAAATTGTAAATGAGAGTGATTTGGGGGCAATGAACATTAGAAAATGTCAAAAATTGAGTAATGTTTCAGCAGTGACTGAATCATTGTGTAAATCTAAACCACTCATTAACGTCTCGTTAAGTTATCTTTCGATCTAACATTAAGTAATTTACACATTCATTTTGTTGCTATACGTGATGTACATGTAACAATATTGAATAAAACAAAAGTTGCACATACATGTAAATTTCCAAACTTGCACTGAAAAGTTGAATGTTGAACCACCCTTTCCTCAAACAAATGATTTGTTTTAATGCAGTTAATTTTGTCTAAACAATAAGAGTGGAAGAAAATTATAGTGGGGTACTGATTTAAGGAGAAAAAGCTGAATCATTTGGATCTTTGGAAAATTGTTGATCCTATACTGTGAGCTATGATAGAGGAATTAAGGGCACTTGCATATCAATTTCTATACTCCCTTTTAGGAATATATAAGAACATGAACCTGTAATTCTGAAATCGGTCCAAATATATCATTCCCGCGTGCATGCTATTTCAAAGCTAATCTGCCCCTGACGTGCACATTGGTACAGATAAGACTACGGTAATCCCCTCTAATCCTCTCTAAACCTTGAAATTCAAAATATCGGTAGATTTATTTAAAAAGTATTTTTAAATGTGTAGGAACTGGTTAGTACATGTATGTAGGTAGTGGTGTATGCTGTGACAGTGATACTGGACTATGATTTAAGGTGTCATGAGTCATTTAAAGGTACAGATTTATATGTATGGTGTATATTGGGGCTCAACCCTGTGCAGAGATCATGTATTTAAATGTAATGTAATTGGTTTTAGATTATGTTTGAAATAGAATTCTATTTTAAAGATGGGTTCCTTTACTTCCTTTTGCAAACCTACAAACCTGATGTTCCATGAATGCAGTAGTGTATTGAAGAGGTCTATCATTAGAAACCTCCAACCTAATGAAGACAAATTAATGGAAACTGGCTTTCAACAAATATATTTTGAATGTTTAATTCCAGATTTGTATTTTCTAGACTTAAAAAATATCTGTACATAAATTCAAAATTAACGTGATCGTTGATTTATCTGTTGATTCATCTGTCGATTTAAGAATAGCTCCCTCTGCGGCAATATGAAAAGATTGTTATATATTTTAGTTTCAGAACCCATGACTAAAATCTTTCACACACAATATCTGAAGGACTTATTTGCAAGTTTGCAAGAGTCTACAAAACTGCCTTTAAAGCACCTCTAAGGTGTTGGGAACCCCTCAAAATTTGATGGCAAAATTTCACTTAAATTGTATCATAATGTGAAAGAGGATGTCATTTAAGAAGTATTTATGCAAGGATTTTCAAAACAATGTGTTTGAAGTCGAATATTGATGAAAGAATACATAATTTAGGTTTTCTGTGTACAACAGAAAACCAGTTGGTTTATGACTTTAATCAATATTTGTCGCCAGACACATTTTTAACTTTTAATTACTGATAAGGCAAAATCTTTTAAAAATGATATTGTCATCATTTCTTTGGATGCCTTTTGGGTGAAATATTGAAAAGGAAAGGGGCATATTTTACCCTTATAGAACTGGAGGGTGTGTGTGTGGAGGGGGGGGGGGGAGTTAGCATGGACCAGTTGTGACCCCCCCCCCCCTCGAATCCATCAGTATCTGAATAAGTGGTTCAAAGACCTCCGTACTGTATTGAAAGGACTCGGGCATGCTGCCAGGTAATACGGGAAGGGCACATCAACTTTTTAAATCTCTGTTGATCTAGGAAATGTAAGATGATGAATAGATAAGATAATAGTTCCTAATAAAATGGGGTTCATATTCTTCAGCAGTGTCGTTCCTTACGGGCTTGTTTATTTACTTGTGCTTTACTGACTTTCTATCGTACGAGAATGAATTTCTGAAGACTGAAAGTCAGGTGACATTTACATGTATTTTCTTTGAAAGGAAGTAAAAACAGATCTGCTAAGCCCAAACTGATTTGTATCTCATATCATGTGATGATGTCTATTTAAACTCTGGAAAATAACCAAGTCCTTTATACCGCAGTCTTAGCACTGTGTGTACAGATTCCAAATAAGTTCATGACGTACATGTAGTCACACTAAAAAAATAACATTTAAGGACCGCAAGCTCCATTTATAGCGTTGGTATTATTCTGTGAGTGCTATACAAGAAACCACTATTGCATGTATTATCATTATCATCATCAAAACTTTTTATGTGAATCCAAATAATATTGCTTTCGTCTGGAGAGCCATGGTCGTGAAGGCCGCCCAAAAGTTTGTGCCTGCAGCAGAAAAAAAAAAGTACATGAGCGGTGAGCACCTAAGCTCTGAAAAGTTCCAAAAGGGCACAGGTAAAAAATGATAAAATGATTTAAATATCACTGTGAGAATATCATTCCTTTACAAGGCTGATTCCTACAAGAGCTCCCAATCTCCCATGAACATGAAAGTAATTTTTCCACTGGGCCCTGCAGAAGGCAGTGTGTACATGCAGGTGTAGTCTTTGACAGTAGTCAGCTGTGTCCCGTAGGCGGGCTAGGTGTTGATTGCTTGTTTCCTGAAGGAGGGGAAGACTGAACAGTTGTCCAGTGGAACATTATTTCACCCTGACGTGTATGTGACATTTGTCGTCAGTCAGACGGGTCATGAAATGTGGTCACTCATATTGTTGTACCATTGTCTGCGACATACATGTACATTGTACTGTTGCACGTTGGAGTGCGGTCGTGTTACAAGAATTACACTGATGAAATGAATTGGATATATAAAAAGGTACTGTACAGAAAATGCACTAAATAATGTGGTACATGGATATTGTCATTTCTGGACAACCCAAGTTTGTTGTTGTTGTTGTAGGTCAGTCGACTGTGTTTCTAAAAGACAGAGATCTGAGACTCTTTTTAATTAAAATATGTCAAAATTGTTGGCAGTTTTTAGAGATTTTGTGGCTAATATTACCCACAGTTATTACAGAAGCAACTTTATCTGTTCATTTGAGCTTTGAACAATATAACTCATCTTTACATACTTTTTATCCAACATTGTTAAATAAAAAGAATTATGGTACTTTGGTGAAGGGAAACAATCAAGGCTGTCTAGCACGACTTTCTGATATTGCACTACACAACTCTTTGTAGTTTATTCTTCATACCCCTTGTATCAAGGCATAATATTTACATTGCCCTCACAGCCACAGGAGGCTTAATAAGGGTTTGAAGTGAAGTCAGATATAGGCCTACATGTATATGTAGTTAGTTAACATCTACCAAAGATTCATGTAATTGCATGTTACTGGTAGAAAGGAAAGCCATATATGTTTTATTGACTTTTCTGAACTTTGGGTAAAACAGGCTACATTTTTTTGGTCGATGTATATAATATACATACATGTACACTCTGTGATATGAATTAAGAAAAGGAAGGGAGATGGGAGATACGGTACCAATATCAGTCATTCCTCAGACTTACCTACCTATTAAAGACCATCAACACTACTGGGCCAGAATGGATTAGACCACACAGCGAGGTCACTGACAGGTGGCTATCTTATTAACTCAGCTCTCAACTAACATAAGAAAAAGAGGATCATGGGGGACCAACAGGCACCGATTGGGGATGTTTTCTATATAGAGGGAGCAAGTAGCTACAAGTAGGACAGTGGGGCTTTAAAGCTTTTGGACTTACTTTTGTTAGCATGGATTAAACACCTAAAGGCCATGAGGTGCACCCTTAGCTCAATTGTGTATCAGAGTGTATCATGGATAGCTCTGCAAACCTCTTGAAAACCTTCAAAATTAATATCTGTACTCTCCATCGAATAATGAGGGTGACGTGACATGAATTAATGCTCTTTTAAAGCCCAACTGTACTACTTGTAGCTACTTGTAGCTACTGTACATGTACTTGCTCCCTCTATATAGAAAGCAATGCCTAAGCGGTGTCCGTTGGTCCCCCATGATCCTCTTTTTCTTATGTTAGTTGAGAGCTGAGTTGATGAGATAACCACCTGTCAGTGACCATGCTGGGTGGTCTAATCCCTCCTGGCTAAACTTGTACAGACGGGCTTTAAGATATGTACATGTAGGAAGGCTGCAGTGACGCCAACAAATATCATTCAAGATTCTGTTGATTGTCTAAAGTGCTAATCAGTCAAACCCCTGGTTATATTGTAGAACTGTTAAAACTCGGTCTCTCAACAGACAGTATTTCAAGCATTACATTATTAAATAGCTTTAATTAATTTATACATGTAAAGATCACAGTTTACCAAGGTGTCATGTTGTACATGTATATAAGTTGTAATTCCCAGAAGTGTGAAATTTGAAGGGATCTGTTAAGCCTGTGCAGATTGTGATAGCTTGCCATGGTCCTCTTCATGGTGTCATGTGATATGTCTTGTTAATCTGTGTGATAATCCTTTAAGCCTTACATGCTCATGTTATCTTCCGTAATTAGACACATATATGCATATATTATTGGTTTGTTCCGTATAAAATATAAAATATAAGGGACTACCCAAACCACATGTAAGAGTATGTCTACAACTTGTAAGGTGAAATTTATATGGAGCCGTATGATATAGATATTACATTCTTAAGCAATTGGTTTAGCCTGCTCAGAGTCATGATCATATTCCTGTACATAATTTATCTTGAATTCTTCAACATCAACTACAATCCATCTAGTTTACATACACTATTACCCATTCTTGAGTACAGTCGAACCTGTCTACAGCGACCGCCCAAGGGAAACAAAAATTGTGCTTGTTGTAGACAGGTTCATTTAGTACATGTACATGTTTCAATGAGAAACCATTTTCAAGGGAAACAACAAATGTGCTTGTTGTAAACAGGTGGTCACTAAAGCAGGTTTGACTGTATTTGTATTTTGTATGAAACCCTTGGAGAGGTAAAGAGGGAGGGGGAAGGGGTGGTCAGGATACCACCTAGACAGGTGATAATTAGCAATTTAGATGTGATCGGCCATTAGTCTCTTATTCCTAATACACCAATAGCTGTTTGATTTAACTGCAACAGGTGGTCCTGTTATGAGAATTAAGATTTTTCATGGTGTCCTGTAAACTATCATTTGGACCAGAGTATACCGATAATATAGGACCATGCCTTTGCTTTGGAAGCGTAGTCTTGCAATACCTGAATATCGGTTTAGCAAGGGTTATGGCAAGGAGGCGTAAGTATGACTTGTGATTTTACGCAGCATTACTACAATTAATATGAACTTTTTGAATTCAGATTGGAGCATATCTACAATTAAGATGGTGGACTATATGTTGTGTTGTTGTGTCAGGAGCAAAATGTATTGTGAGCATGTGTATGAATCTGTAATGCCAGCATACCGGTTTTATGAGGATTATAGTATGCTGGTGTAAAGTACATGTCTAAGACTTGTAATGTTTTGCAGCAGTGCTTGAATGTTGGGCATTCAAATTAGACCATCTGTTAACCTGAAATGCCAGAATATTGGTAGTTTTTTAAGGATTATACTTGTAGTATGATGCCATAAGTACATGTATATGTGTTAAAGTTTCTGCAGCAGTACGTGTTTAAATTTATATGAACTTTGGGTACGCAGATTAAAGCATACTTTTATAAATGTTCTGATAATAAAGATATGGACTATGTATTTTGAGGGGTTGTATTGGAAGCAAAGTAAACGTTAAAACTGCGGTGCCAGAATATCGGTTTTATGAGATTATAGCATGTGCCATGTTGACAATGAGAGCATACATTGTATCCAAGAAGGCAGAATACTGTAAAACAAGGAACTTTCTTTACAGGAACCATTTGCGAATTACTAAGGGTGGCCTTTGTTACGGCAGGAAACTTTTGCAGTTTGCGAGAATATAGTGCATTGATGGGACTTTGATTATTTCACAGCAAGATCCTTCGAAAAGTCGTAACTTGTCAAGAAATTCAAAAACATTCATGCATGCCAAAGTTTCTGTTTTTTCCCTATGTAAAGGAGACTGACATCAACAATTTTTAGAGACATGATATTTAATAGGCCATTTTGTGTTGTTATGCTAGGTAGGACAAGCCACAATGTTTGTCCTACCTAGCAACAATTAATGTATGCAGTACATATTCTGACTATTGAAATAAAATTGATTGTAACAGATCTTTGAATTATATTTTTAATTTGATTAAAATATGAAAATGGTCTATTGAACTGAATTGTTAAGAACTATTCCTGTTTTTTCTCTTTTCTGCAGGTCTAAGCTAAGCTCCCTTTTTGGGATGGATAAAACCAGCAATCAGGGTGGCAATGAGTCGCTGACATTCACAGCACCAAAACAGCCTAAGAAATCCAAAGGTAAGCTGGAATGCTCCCCAGGGAGTGGAGATTGTGCACACATTGTGTGCGGGCAAGCACTGAATCCAATGACCGGGGTAATAGTATATTTGTAAGGCGCTTAGAAACAGTTGTATTAAGCGCTATATAAAAATTGAATATTATTATTATTGTTATTAAGCACTTTTCAAACCAGGGGGTGTTTCACAAAGATCCTAAGTCAAACTTAACTCTAAGTTGGACTTAAACATTATGGAGAGCCATTCGTAGCCTTGAAATAAAATGTAATCAAAAGCAAAAATTGAAATATTTTAGACTTTTCATAAATTGCACATTGAGCACATGAAATCTCCTTGATAATAGAAAATATGACTGATTTTAATCAAAATTTTATGCCTTTTGAAATTACTTTTACAAAATATGTTTAAAGATGCTAATGGCTTTCCATAAAAAGTTAGAAATTAACCTTATCTAGCCAGTGTTAGCATTTTAGTTCACGAAGCATAAAATTCACACCAAAACCAGCCAACGTAACTTTATAGCACCAAAGCAACCAAAGAAAGCCAAATAAAAAACTTTTCCCAAGCTCAAGATTAAATATTTTGATAATGATAATAATCATCACATTTGTATAGCGCTTAATACTATGTTTCTATGGATTTTGCATAGTAATTATGTTGATGAAGTTGTGTTGTGATCTTGCCACTGATGGTCTTCTGTCGATCCAACATAAATAATCACAATTCCTAAACATACAGGCTTTCGCAGCAACATACAGCCATAGAAAGCCCAAAGTTAGCACTTTCCAAGCCAAGACTAAAAAAAGAAAAGGTTGAGTTGTTGTCTAGACAAGGATCTGCATGTACTGTAGCCCACGCATCACCAAAATTAGCCATCATTGACGTTTTAATTAATATGCAAGCATTTCCAGCAGCAAAGCAGCCAATGAAAGTTAAAGATGACAACTTTTGAAACATTTGAAAAGATAGAGGTAGCTAAGAAAGACATAAAACAATTGAAATCTCCCCCAAGAAAAAGAGAGAGAGAGAGAGAGCACTGCCTCAATCATCAGAATAAATGAATAAATGAATAATAAATAATTGTATAGCTCTTTAAAGTATTAAAAGAAACATGTTATTTTTGTAGCATGGAGAGTTCATATTCAGTGCCATCCACGAATTACATTAAATCGATTTTGACACAACTCCTTTTTTGGATCTCCTTCGCATACGCCTAACCTATAAATGATGAGACCATACGCCCACTCTACCATGGATATTTATAGTTCTGGATGGAAGGAAACTGTTTAATACATCATGTGGTTTGAGTCCTTGGCAGCCATCAAGTCAAAGTCAATTGGTTAAATCTATGGAATTATGTGGGAGGGCAATTTATTGGATGTACATGTAATTTTCTATGATTGCAGAGACTTTGAAAAGAAGTATGTTCTGGAGGAGCCGAAAGTGTTTAACGATTGAGTTTGTATGAAGAACAAACTGACACAATATGAGGAACTAGAAGGGCTTAAATTTAATTTGATAGTGTACAGTCCAAAATACAAAAGTACAGTACAAAACACGAAGGAGTAAGGCAGGCATTAGTGAAGTTTAGATTGTTGGTGTGCCTGTCTGGTACATAATTTGATGCCTAGAGAGCTCATAAGAAAATCGGGGAAACTCTTCTTACACTTAGGGCCGAATTCACAAAGGAGGTTTGACAACAAACCTAGGTGTATGTGTGTCCTATGACGCATTTTGACGCGTTTCAGACCAAGGTTCGGCCAAACCTTCGTCTGAAACGCATCGAAACGCGTCATTTGATGCACATAAACCTAGCTTTGTCGTCAATTAAACCTCCTTTGTGAATTTAGGCTGTTATTTTTGCTGCATACTGTATACATGTACATGTATGTGTCTGATAACTTCCCGATTTTAATTTAATTTTCTTTGTTTTTCTTTGTTTTTCTCCTCCAAAAATAGATAGTCGCTGAGATCGATATAGATCCGGTTTAAAATTAGGGGTGAGGGTGAGGGGATGGGGTTGGGGGAGGTGTCGTTTTTTCATGACTTGCTTAAACGCTTTGAGCGAGCGTTCGGGACCTCGCTTCGCTTAGATTTTTAAAACATAATTTTTTGTTTGTTTAACTCTTACTATCACCCCTGATGTATGAAAATTCAAAATTCTGTTGATTATTCTGATTCTGTTGATTATTCTGATTCTGTGAATTTCCACTTACTTTGGTAGTTGAAATGAATATTTTGAAAAGTGAGATAAAATTCTATAATTATGAAATATTCAAAACTTCTGAAATATTTTATTTGTTCTTAGATCAACAGCAACAACAGCAACCACAGCAAACACAAGGTCAAGGGGGCCAGTCAGCATTACTTCTAGCAGTAGCAGTTCATGCATATAGATTGTGAGTCAGGATTCTTGTTCTACTCTGAACAATTCTGTGCAAAGTGTTCTAAAAAATAAAAATAATAATAACAATATTTATAAAGCGCAACATATCCATCTCTAGAGATGCTCAAGGCGCATACAATATGTCATATGACATTTATCCATTTATATCATTAAAAATGGAAAAAATTTCCTGGGTTCTGTTGCACAAAACTTACCATTGATGGCAAAGCTACCACCAATGGTAAGTTTTATGCAACGGGGCCCAGATATGACCATTGACTAGTGGTTTTATCCAGTAACACTAAAATTGTTACAAACATGTAGTCATATTGAGAGAGGTTTTATTTTTATGATGAAATAAATGGGCAAAAAGACATATGTTTTGCAGGACACATTCTATGGAAGCTCCATGTTGTAGTTTATTTTTGTATTGCTCTGAAAAGTGAAATAAAGGGATTTTTTTTTCCTTGTGAGAATGTGTCAAAAAAAATCTGTGAGCTGTAGCATTGATAACAAAACAGCTACCGGTATACATTTGCCAGCTGATGTTGGAGGAGGTGTTTTGTGTATTTCCAGTTTATAAATGACCAGTGTACTGTTTATGTTTTTTGGATTATGAGGATTGTATTTCTTAGTTGTAGAAGTAGTAGTGAAGTAGAATTTATGGAATAACTTTCTTAGCACAAGGCTCATCTGGCCCAAGTTCCAAGTTTGTTATGCAAACTAGAATTCTAGCCTCTTTTTAGTAGCTATTCAGATATGATATCATAGTTACTCTATTATTTCTTTTTAGTTTTAGTATTACTGTAGAAAACTTTTGCATTACAAAAAATGTGCATATTGAGTAGAAGTAGTAACATTGGAAATACTCTGATAGTTAGGGGTTTAGAATCACAAAACAGGTCCATTGTACGTCATAATTGTTCATTTCATTGGTTCATGATAACGCTGACAATTTGGTACAGTATGTACATTGCGCAGAGGAAGGTTTTCATCGATTATTTCCTATTTTCATTATTTCACAGTTCAAATGGCACATATATCAAACACGGGAAGCTTGGTGCTGCCATCCTGGGCAACCACACAGCTAATGATGTAAGTTTGAAATGCTCTTCTACGTATTATGCTAAGACTTATTTTTTTTAAAAAAATTTTACAACAGATCTTTCCTTCCAAGTCCTGCCTGATTTGCTATCGTTCATTGTGCAAAAGTGATATCCTAGAACTCTGCATTATCATAATTGATAATTGCTGGCACCATAACATTTAATCTTAATACTGTTCTAAGGAATTTTGTTATATAGTTTTGTTTCCTCAGTGTCGAAACATTTTAAAATATTTTAAATAGGATGACTTTGTTGGTATAAGATCATACATGTCCATGTATATTTCCGATATGATGATACTACAGTACATGTACATGTATTATCCTGCTTGTGTTCTGAGCATTAATTTGTGATTTTCTCTTCTCTGTTTCATGTTGTATCCGTAGTATAAGATACTTCTATACATCAGCAAACAACAGCAGGTCACACACGCAAGGATATCTCCCACATTTGCCTTCACAGTAAGTATTCGTACAGTAATAATAGTATTCTGAATGCTTAAAGTTCTCAATAGTTATAATAGTAATAGTCACATTTGTATTGCGCCTAATACTGCGTTTCTTTTTAAAGTGCTTTACATTGTAATAATTGATTCTTCGGTCATTGGATGCGATTGATTATCTACACATGCTACGCTCCCTGGGGAGTGTTCCGGCCAGGCGCCATTTTACAAGCGCACACAAGCTAATTCAACCACATTTAACGTTCTCATCCTACTGATAACCCATTTAACACCTGGGTGGAGAGTGGCAAATGTAGATAAATGTGCAACGAGGGTAGTTGTGACAAACTGAAACAGTGTAATTGTGAAACGATGGTAGTTGTGACAAGCTTGAGCAGTGTAATTGTGAAACGATGGTACATGTAGTTGTGACAAACTTTAACAGTGTAAATGCATTCTTGGAAATTGATGCTGTATTTGGATTTATTTTGGTAAAGATCCATGTATCTCAAGGTTAAGAATACATCACATTGTATTTATATAGCTTAGCTCTTGAAAGTGGGCCTACATTTATGAATTCTGGCAGTTACTCAAAATAGCGAGTTAATTTTAGCAGGGGTAGCCTAGCTGTAAAATGAGTCACTTTAATTGTTGCCAGGCAGTGTGCTTGTCTTGACCCCACCATGTGCCCTGCATAACCCACATGCAGGGTCTGTACCCACTGTTTTCAACTTTAAGGCACTCGGATCATTCATGTGATAGACAACCCTTTGTAATATGAAAGACAATGCATACAATGTTGATCTCATGTATGTTAGATTTACACGTAAAGTGACTTTGTTTTGTTGGGAATGGAAGCATAGATCTTGAAAGTAGAAAAAAAAAAGGAGGCAAAGATTCAAATGTGTATTAGGCAGATTGATGTCATATAGCTCTAAATCATTTTAATGATATTTTCGACATTTTAAATCAGGCGATTGTGTTCATTCTTTCATTGATTTTAATAAGTTATATTAAAATAAATGGAGGAATAGTCAGGAAATATAATTACATACACATGTACTGTTTGTGCATGTAGCAACATTGTATAAACATTAGATTGTGATTTTCTTTTTAATCTGACTATTGAAATTGTTAAATTCTCCTCTCTAGATCAATTTTGAAAGTTAACAAATAGATATCATTATAATTGTTTATTTTATTAACAAAACTTGACACAATGTTTATATGTTTCCTGTACATAGCCCTTATATATATATTTTTTCCCCTTCTTTTTGCTTACTCTTCCTACAGGTACAAGCTAATAACTATGCAACATTTTATGATGAACAGAGACAAAACTGGTCGATAATGTTTGAATCAGAACAGAATGCTATAGACTTTGCAAAACAGGTAAGGCAGAAATGATTATAATATAATAATGAAAATCTGGAGTTATATAGCGCTTTATACGAAATATCGTCTCTAAGTGCTTTGAATAGTCCTTGTTTCATTTATAAAATGTAAGTTTATTTTTTATTGCAATTGTTTTCTCTTGATATTAAGTTTTATGTTTATAATTTATGATTATATTTCCGGTTGCAAAATTGCAAAAAGACATGAATATGTTTGAGATTGCTTTTCAGAATTTATTTTGTTCTGTGGATATCCTCTTTGAGGCTCTTTCCAACATTTTCCTTATAAAAATGATGTCTTTAAATGCTCATGATAATTTTTTATTTATATTGCTCTTAATACTACATACCGTCTCTATTAGCACTTTACATATATCACATTTTATAACATTAAGAAGATTAACAATGTAAATCCTCATATTCATACTGGATAGAAAGATCTTTTCTTATGTTTTTTAAGTGCTAGTTTTCTCCTCTAAAAATGTTGTTATACACTGTAGCTTAAGTTACATTTCCAGAGATGATTTAAAGCTAAAAAATATGGAATTATAATATATAGTTTTAAGGGCTTTTACCCCAAGGCTATGATTCAAGATGGGGGCGGGGGAAGGGGGAGGGGGAATGGGGGAGGGGGAAAGGTTTATGATATATATTGTCCAGTTGAAAGTGATATCTTGAGGTGTATGTTCAAGACAACCCAAAGTCAAGGACTTTAACCCTGTGACAATGATTCAACCTGAGGGACAGGGATAGCACACTACTTCTTACTCTTAACATGACTTTACAAAAACAAGATCTACATGTAGATTATAAAGTCTGTCCTGTGACATAACATACTACAAGAGATGATAAACCTCCATGACACCTGTCATTATTTGAAGCCTGAGTCAGAATTGTTCTTTGATTTGAACTCTCAAACTTGCCCTAGTTTAAAGGGAGTGTAGCCTGATGAGACTATGTGTCTCTCCCGTGGCCTGGCTCGGGGCCATTTGGGTATAATACGACTACGGACGATGCGACCGCAGCAATCACGTGCGTGTAACATACAGTGTACGCGAAACCGAAGCATTAGGAGAACTTTGGTTTGTTTCGCGAACGGTGACCATGTAGAGATTAAGTTGTTGACTACTGTTAATCAAGTCCATTCGTTTATGTGCAGTTGTCCAAAAGAAGACGTGAATGGCGTCAACCAGTATTTGCCAAGCTACACTCCCTTTAAGTTCGGCTTCGTTCGGTAATTCTTTCTTCTTATAGGCAACCCGGATTGCTTTCTATGTTGCAGATAAAATGAATTCAAAGAATTGGTCCTTACAGGGCATACTAGGATTAAATGTATAGTAAAGAATGTGACGCTTCCACCAAAGGGTATACATGTACTTGTCTGAATCTTATTTTACCCATCATAAAAACACTTGCTATTGTTGCTTGGAGTTTAAGTTTGTCAAAAAACAGACTTGGCAAAAGTGATAATTTTGTCTTTTTTAAAGAATAGTTGCATATTTCAGGTGTGTATATTTCAAATAAAAATTTAATGTCACTCATATTAAAGTGCCTTTCTTTTTCACAGTGGTATGTTCTGATCATCCAAAGCAACCTGTGTATTCGTTTCATAGAAAGACCACCTGTCCATGAAGACCACATTCTTTGTGGTCTCCCGTGGAAAGTGGATATGTCAAAACCTGTTCAAAAGTGGAATGTACAAAATGACCTTCTGCTTATAATGAGACCATTTTTGTGTTCTTTGAGAAGGGTTTTTATATACATGTTTCACTGAAGAAGTGAAATAGCTGTAACAATAAATATCTTTATGACGTTTCCATTCTACCCTCTCTCTCTCTCATTGCAGGTTGGTCTAGCCAAAGTGAACAGTGCAGGTAGTGCGTCCAAGTCCTTGGTCTTCCAAGATCTGACCATCGGTCTGGGGGACGCTGTCCAGAGTGGCGACTCGGTAGAAGTCAAATACACAGGCTGGCTGTATTCCAGCAGGTCATTCGGAGATGTAAGTATGGTCAAGCAACGGACACTGACCGCATGAGTACAAAGTAGAGATGTCATGACCAAGTAGATTGGTTACAAGACTTCAGATCTCAGGGTTTGCAGTTCAAGTCCCGACCATGGCACCGAAAGTCCTTTGTCAATATTGATATCCACTGTCACTGGGGGGTGTTTCATAAAGCTGTTCGTAAAGTTACGCATGACTTTACGAACGACTTGTATATGAAGTGCCAGATAGGACGCCCACAGATTTTCCTGATGCTTTAAAAAAGTGTGACTATATTTCCAATAACCTCAATTAAATTATGGTTATGAAATGTACTTTGCATTAAAAATGTTTCTTATGAAAAGAATGTTAATCTACAATCTTAATCTACATCTGCACAGTTAAACTTTAGTTGATGCAGTTAATAATGATTGAGCATCCCATTTGGCTTTTCATATTGAAGTCATTCGTGAAGTCATGCGTAATTTTGCGAACAGCTTTATGAAACACCCCCCTGGTGTAATAAATGGATACCTAGGAAGAATTTCTTGAATACTTTCAGTCTGCAGCTGGGCTAAAGCTGGGGTTATGTAGTACATGGGCATTCCTTTTGATGGACACCTGCTCACTGTGAATGTAGATGTTATCATGCTGTTCTCCAAAATCATTAAGTTATCATAAGGAAATGCACCTACAATATCAAAGTTTATATAAAAAGCAAGAAATGAATAGCTCATAGTTTTTTAAATACTGATAGAGGTATAGAGAAGGCCTATTTTTAATTCAGTTTTAAGTAAAGTTGAGTCTCGGTGGTACAGGAAGTTGTTGGAGAATATCCTAAATTGAGGGAGATGGATTACAACTTGTGTAACATCAAAAGATTACAAGCTTGCCCATAAGATCTCCTGCTACATGTACATGTACACCTGTTCTCCTGCTTTCATTATCTACCTTTAAAATCGTGAATATTAAGACTAGTATTAGCATCCTTCTCTATATTCTCTCTCTGTGCAGGTATTTGACAGTAATACCAGTGTAGACAAACCATTCCGCTTCAAGATCGGCAAAGGCAAAGTGATAAAGGTAAGATAATGCGGATGTGCATCATTACCATTTTGTTATTATACTAATTCAGGTTCAATGGATTGGTAGTTTTAATTAATTATCTGACCTTTTCCCCAAGGAAAAGAAATTGTGGATGGATTTTTTTTATTTTTTAAATCAGCGAAATTGATGAATTCTGCCACTTCTTCTCCTGATATGAGACTGCGGGAATAAATAGTACAGGATTATTTTCCCCCCTCCTCTCCTTAAAAAAAAGAAAAAAAATGCAGCAGATATTTCATGTTTTAATTAACTAATAGATTGATCGAGTTTAAAACCAACTTTGAGAAAGGACGAAACTCAAAGAAAATGAAACAAAAGGAAAAAGAAAGGACATGTGTAATGTGATATACACATTGTATTAACAAGTAAAAAATTTCATCGGTATTACACGTTAGATAGGTAATTGGAAACTCTTTTGAAAAGAGTTTTGAGATACCATCGCAATCCTGCCTTCTATTACAGTTTTAGGGATTAAGCGCCAAGTATTAAAGCTGAAATGGGAGACCCATTCTTTAATAGAGCAATGAGTAATTGTTTCAAAGTTCATCTTGCCAATCGCGCAAGAATGTAATCAAGCATTTGCCAAAGGGAGCGATCAAACCGCCAGATAAAGTGTTAAGAATTAGTTGTATCCACTGCGAAGGATAGGTTTTTGAGTTGCCTGCAGGGGAGGGCTTTAAGGGATAATTATAGATCGGCGATGCGACTGATCGGGGCGGCAGGAAGCGTCGATTAAGGAATGACATTCGTTGGGAAATTGCACATTTTTCAATCACTGCGGAGGCAGATGTAGGTAGTGAGAGAAGGGAAGTTGTGTGTGACTTTTCTGGCAGTTCCACTCTCATAAAATTCTATATAGGGAAATGAAAACATCTGGGATGGAAAAATGAAATTATGAATAGCCCAAAGTTACATCAAGAGTGAATATATGTACCTCTGTACACTTCTTTTCATATGGTTTGCATTGTTTTCAAGGTTAAATGGTTTCATACTTTCATTCAAAAGAATGTGAAATTGTTAGTTTGTAGATGAAAATTGTTGGTAGTGTAAAAAGATAAGTAAATTATACATGTAAATGGAGATAGGAAATGGAATTACAAAGGGACACATTAATTAAGAATAAAAAATATAAAAGGAATTGTGGTATATGATTGGCTTAAATCGTATTAATGTGAAATGCTTTTACAAATGTTTTCTTTATGACTGTCTATGTCCATGATATGTGGGGCAAGAGTCCTGGGCCCCGTCTTATAAGGAGATTATGTTAATTTGCAAGTTATTAGCGATTGATATCAATAACAACTATGCATAGAGATAGGAGACTGCAAACATGCGATTGATTGAAGGACATGCAGTTGATTTGGATCAATCCCAACCCTTAATAAGACAGGGCCTAGTTTGTATATTCTGGGGAGTGTTTCACAAACACTAAGATCGCCTTTAAGTCAGACTTAACTATGGCAGGCCATTTATGCCACTGGTTGCTTGCACCATTGGTCTCTCAATTATGATCTTTAGATGATATTTCTTCCTCCAATAATGAACTATCAAAAAAAGGTAAATTCTGAAGATTTGTGACTATTCTTTGAACGTCCCTTGAGAAACCAATGCCAGAAATGGTTAGAGGAACTAGTGGCATGAACGGCCTGCCATAGTTAAGTCCAACTTAAAGTCAATCTTAGTCTTTGTGAAACACTCCCCTGTACTTCTTAAAGATGATTGGAGACAGAGCAAGTGGTAGGATTTAATTAATTTACACCCTGTAAATAGACCTGGCAGAGTATAATGATGGGATCACGCCCTTCCCATGTACGTGTAGACAGCATACAGTGTGACGTATGTGACCACATTCAAAGTCACTTGACCCAAACACCATCTTCCACAAAACTCACAGCGTGTTCCCATTGCTAGAAAGCTGTACAGTGCGCTGTACACCAACCCTCTGCATAATCTTGTTCCTGTGGGAAATGAGAATCCATCATGTGTTTGGTGATCTAATTTCTTTTTTATACAAATGATGCTAAAAATTACCCAATGTTTATGAGTAGATAGAGCTGAAATCACTGCACTCTCAATAATAACAAGTTTTGCTACAATAAGGATTATAATGTTTGTTTCTTCCTTTTTTTTTGAAAGGAAAATAGGCATCAAAATCTTTAAATTGGCAGCATGAACCAAGTACAAAATGACCCTTTACCAATGTGTATTATCATCTAATTCCTGCATTGCATATTAGATATGAATTTATTTATATGCTTTCACACTGAATATTTGATACAGTGTACATGTAGTTCTGCAGAACATAACAGTCAACTGAGGAAAAAATACAAATGTTGACAATATTATGATTCACTCAGCCTTTGGGAAGATAGTAATTCATTGGGTGGGATTAAAAAACAATCTTGTTGAAGGTTTGTATTGGAAGTGACCGCAGATACTGTGTATGCCTTAGAACCAAGATGCACATGAATTTGTCAAGAGGGGCTAAGCACCACTTCCTTTAATACCTGGCAGTGGGAAGGGGTTATTTACCACTAATTACTGCGTTACACCTAATCTCAGTACGTCCTAAGTCTGTCCAATATCCTCTGAGTGTAAACAAGTCAAGTCCTTTTCACACTTCACAGCCAAGGAATACCACTTGACCATACTCAGAATATAACTTTATAGAGCGAGAGAGAGAGAGTACTATTCAGTGTTTCTCTGTGACATCTATAGGAGACTTCTACAATTTCAAGTTATATAATATCAATCTTTGTTGCTTAGCCATCAGTTTGCACTTCATTTAAAATGGTGAGTGGATTTGGAATTAGAAGATTATTGAAGTTCAGCTCAATTTTCCTATTTTTACATAAAAGGCATTGGAAAAGGCATCAAAATACCTGTTTCTCTCGACCCGGGTATAGGAAATTAGTACCTGGTAGGGATTTCCCCTTACAATGCACTGTACTTAATAACAAATACCAAACCAAAAACAAGGGCCATGTTATCAGATGCATTTTGGAAGAACATGGAGACTTGATATTGTTTCATGTGTTTACACTACAAAAAGATAGAATGTTGTCATTCTTCTTATTTTTTTATTTTTTTTATTAGATGCTCGATTATCAGTGGTACCATATGTTATAATTAATGTGTTGTTTTTCAACTTTGTTTTCCTTGCAGGGCTGGGAGGAAGGCGTGGTTGGTATGAAGAAGAATGGGCGTCGGTTACTCATCGTCCCACCCCCACTGGCGTATGGCAAGAAGGGGCTCGGCTCAAGGATACCACCCAATTCAACTCTTCTCTTTGATGTAGAAATTAAGAAGGTGATTATTACAATTTGATGTTTTTATTTCTTTGTTTGTTTATTTAGATCTAACATTCTGGCACAGGAATATATACTTGTGTACACATATTCTTGTATGCAATCAGGATGATTTGTGAATAAAGAAAGAGAGCAAATGCTTTATGGTCGCTGGGAAGTTTTTTGCCTGATATTGTGTAAAATCTGTTTTTCCGATCTTTCTCGGCAGAAATATGATCTTTAGCATACAGATCTCTAATCAGCAATTCAAATTGAAATTCACATGTCAAGCTTAATGTGTGATCATTCTTAAGTAGTTAATTATTGTTTGAATTGCACGAAGTGCATACTGAGTAGTATTTGAAGTTGCACATGAAATGTTGAAGAGTATGAAATATCTTAAACATTTACATTAGCTTGACGGTGTCTGTAATGGGCATCTTGTTTGGATTTCAAACGGAATAGCATGCATATTTTGCAAATTTCATATAGTCCGAACATGTGTACCCTTCTGTAATATATTGTATTTAGAAACCTACATGTACAAATATATGTAGATAAGGTACATGTGATTAGTGATACACTAGTATGTTATTCAGTATACGGTTCTGTAAAGAATAGAAAGTTTTTGTCTAAGTATGGGATGCTTGCAATATGGATCATTATACAGACTTGTGTTCAAAGCACATCGTGAACGCTTGAACTAATTGAGTCTTAATAGGTACACTACAAGGGAAGGGGATCAGGTAACGCGGCATAGAGAGGAAGCACGTCGGAGAATGACTCGTGCTTGTGAATTACTGCTCCCCCTTAATCAGCGCAAAGCCCCAGCCCTGTTTCGTCTTGTAGCATCTTACAGACATGTAAATCAACACTGGGGGATGTGTAACGGTTAGGATGTATAGATATTCTTGAAAAGCACATTAGAGCTAGTCCCCATTGCCGCAATGGTATGGAAGTAGAAGATGGGCTGGGCATGAGTGCAGTGGTACAAGATCGTGCTGTAAGCAAAAGATGTACAAGATCTTCTCTGTATTGGGCATAGCAGACTTTAAAAACTTCAGAACTTTCAGTGAAAGCTTATTGACTCTATTGGCCTAATAAGACAATTCAATTTCTGTTATCCTCATTACCATTAAACTTGAACTGGCTTTTAAAGACCGTCAATACTACTGGGCCAGTAGAGATTAGACCACACAGCGAGGTCACTGACAGCGGGCTATCTCATTAACTCAGCTCTCTACTAACATAAGAAAAAGAGGATCATGGGGGACCAACAGGCACCGATTGGGGAAATTTTCTATATAGAGGGAGCAAGTAGCTACAAGTAGGACAGTGGGGCTTTAACCTGTTGACTACTGTATTCTCATATTCCCATAGGCTTTAAACAGGAACCACTCGGTTCTAGTAGGCAATGGTAAAGAAACCTACAGTTTAAGTTTTATTGGTCAGTCCTCAGATTCACTGAATGATAAAGTAATCGATAGTCCAGTGATCCACTGAATGGTGTCATCATTTACCGTGAGCCAACTGGTGGATAGTGAAGTTGTGATGTCACTGTATGATTGAAATTAACAAATGAAATTATGAAAGCATTCATTATAAATACTTACTTGTAAGGGTGTTTAATACATCAAACCTCCGGAAAGATTAAGGAGAATTTCTCATGCAATCTGTTGCATGATTTATGCTTTACATAAATGCTGTAGTATTATGCAAGAAAAATGTTATTGCATATATTGTTTGAGCCACATTAAAGAGGGCTGTGCTTCACCTGAAAGCATACGTGGGCGATCATAACTCTGCAGTGGGTACGGGGCGTGGGAATCTTGCGTTACGCCGCATGACATCGGCAAGTGTTTCCTAGGGCTGTGAAAGATTCAATTAAAGCTGTTCAAGGAGAAAATATGTCTAACTTTCTTAGCAATAATTATGTAAGCCACAAGGCAGAATTAGCACTGGGTGGGTTCCCCATAAGTCTCATCGCAGAACTTCATTATGTTTGAAGTATAATCATGAGTTACAAAAATAGAAAAATGGGAATGCAAGTCTGCAGACATCACCCTCTATCTAGTGTGTAACATACATGTACCTAGTTCAGTTCTGAAACACAGGATTAAGAAAGCGACATAATATCTACTTGTTAAGTTGTTCTACAGTGTGTGGGTGAGTTTAATACTGTGTGTGTTTGAGCTTATATTTACCATGATTTCAGGCAGATGTGTATTGTATTTGCTATTGGTGTTTAAACCCTTTTATGCCATTGCATTAATTTGGCAGCAAACCCCATTCAAGAATAGCAATGATGATTTTGTTTTTTTTTGTTTCGTTTTGTTTCGTTTTGTTTGACTATTAAAGAGTAGGTGTTCGTTTGTTCATATAAATAATCCTGATATATTTACATGTATTCTATACATTAATATTGTTACCACGGTAGTTCTTCAGTGCCTATCCAACAATTTACAGAAGGATTAAATATAATTAATTTCAGTGTGACTATTGAATATTATGCAATACACCCTTTCACGGTTACAAGAGTGCCCAGCATGGGTGCCATTTTAATTTGCGAGTAAATATGGATATAGTGAGGAATGTAAACAAAAATTGCTAGGATATTAAACATATGCGCTTGAATCTATGACAAATGTTTACCTGAAAGTTAAAATGGTGGTCTTAACCCTGAAGGGGGTGTATTGTTCAGTGCCTTTATCATGAGGGGAAAAACACAAACACACAGTGAGGTCTGCATGTCCATACATACATACACTGTATACATGTGTACATGGAAATGGAAACACTCTCATGTGTACTTTGTCTAAGACTTTATTTGTCTCTGAGAAATTGAACGTGAAATCTACAAAGATCATCTTGCAACTAACATACAGAAGAAGTCTCCTTGAGGGAATAGGTTGGAGAAATATTGACGTCAATGTTGATATTTTGCTTGATGCTAGTCACATGGTCTCATTCGATAAAAGAATTCAGGATTGAGAAATTTGTGGTTTCTGTTCTGTAATCTCTACGGCATATTTCATGGCAATCGTAACTACATCTACATGTACACCCTAGTTTTGAAATCCTTCCAGATATTAAAGGTTTTATGTTATGTTTCATAAAGTGTGAATCAGTTTAAATTATTTGGCAATAGAATTTTTTTTTTCCAGCCCAAAATATGCAATCTGTAGATAGCAAACTTATAATTTCACTTCACTGTTTAAACAAAAATATCAATTGGTCTGCAGATCACAGTTAATGTATGTTTTAGAAAAACTGAAACTAAAGGAAAATACTGTTTTTAACTGAACAAATAAAGTAGAAAAAAAGTCCTGATGATATTTTTCCACCCTCACATTGTAATAAACTATTTCACAACTCACCTATTATGTGTCAGAATTTCTGATTTGATGATATGTATGTATTTAATATTTTGTTTTCTCTTTTATAGCTTAAATTTTCAAGAGATAAGGAAGAAAGTGGTTCACTATCTTCAGATGCCACAGATGGCTTGAGGTCGGAGGAGAGGGTCGGGTCACCAAAGGTTGGAAGGTCGAGAGGAGGAGATGTTTCAAGTGACAAGTAAGATACACCTCTGTTGAGTTTTACTTGAAACAAATTATGATTGATGTAGATATAAGCATATCATTGTCATTGCTGCAGCACAGTACATTACAAGGCGTTGTGAGTGTCCCTCTCATAGGATGTAAATAAAGTTTCCAAAAAAAAATTGCCCCGTCGCATAAAGCTTACCACTGAAGGTAACTTTATATTTCAACTACCATGACAACATCACTCGACAACCGATCAAATCAGGGTTTCCATGGAAGTACTAACCATTAATGGTAAAGTTACTATCAATGCCACATTTTATGCAATGGGGCCCAAGTCCTACCTATTAAATTTTGAAATATCCAACTGGATGAATTTTTTAACACATGTAGCAGATCTTGTTGAAGAAAACGTGAAGAACATTAAAAATCTCTTTGATCCATTTCAAGAAAGTCTTAGCATAAGAGTACCCAGATGAAAACTCGATGAAAATTCTTTTGAAATCTACATCGGATGAATATTTGGAATGAATGAGATGCTAGGAAAAGAAAATTATTTGCAATTCCTAATGAAAATTATTTTACCTGTTGTTTGTATCACAACAGTGAAAGCAGAATAAAGCACAACAACAACTCAGAATCACAACTGTCAACGGTAAGTCCTATCTCTATTTTACTCTTTTCATGTCATGAGTCTTATCCTAATATGCATGTATGAGGTCTGCCTTAGTGGCCTCCATTGAGAGTTTATGATTGCATAATCTTTCTAGTTTATGATTGCATTTGTCAGATGTCAGAGTTAAGATTTAATCTTGATTTACACATTCAACAAATAAGTTGTAAGAATAATGTACCCTGCATCATACAAATTTTATTTAATTGAGCGTTTCCTGCTGGTAGAATTATTATTAATGTAATTGTCCAACAGTATTTTAAATTAAAATCCCTTTTTATTCCATTTTCTTACCCTGGGAAATGTTAATTACTTAATTAAACCTTAATTTGTTAAATTTTATGGGGTTAGTGAACCATTTCATGTGATTCAAATTAATCTGTGATTATTTTCTTTTCATTTAAACACCTGTGGTATTTAACAGCGAGTTGTCAAATGTTCTACTTTCTGTTATTGTCACCAGTCACCTGTTTATTAATGTTTGTTTGATTGTTGTTGTCTTTAGAAATAACATTAAATGGCGATAAAGTTTTTAAAATAAATGATAAAAATACAAAGATATAGAAAATTTCCATTATTCACAGAAAAAGAGCTAAATTACTTCAGAAAACCTCATGCTTTATTGAAAAATATACAAATTTGTTTAATAACAATATACATGTAGAACATTATAATATTAAAGAGAAGTGCCCCTCTCCTCTTTTCGGTACTGTTTTTTTTAATCAATTTACTATATGTACTTGTTTTTACATAGAATGTTCCAAGCAATACAAATATTTTTGTAGATAATTGCTGTAGGGACAAATGTACATCTATACACACTTTTTAAATGTTTTGTTTTCCTTCTTTATAGAGTCCCTCATCAAGTAAAGCCAAATTGATCTCCCGTATGGCCAAGATGGGACAACCCATGCTGCCGCTCGCTGGCGGGGTCGTAGCCCATGATAGCACAGACTCAGAAGCAGATGTGAGTTTCAATTTGGTTTCATACTTTTTAAATATTTTTATCCGTTATTAAAACTTGATGTTAACAGATGAACGTTGTTTCCCTTAGAGTATACCAATCACCTGAAAATTTAATTTGTGTATACTTAGAATGTAAAACATCAATGTCTAAAATTTTACCTGGCATTCTATCGGTAAACCTTTAGGAGTATGAGGAAAATAAAGGAAACCCCACGTAAGAGGCTCAAACAGAACACAAGTCGGTCTTGGGTTCCATGCGCGACCTATTCTATGCGAGTGTCCGTTAACTAGTCTTATCAACAAAACGTTTTACTGTCCACTGATTATTTAAATGTATATGAATTGCAATATCTCTAATGGTAGAAGTCGTATTTGAAGCTATTATTTTGAATACTGTAAAGGCACGTAGAACCTCTTTCACCAAGAGCGAAACCTGTTTTGGTAATTGGTACACTCGAACTCTTTTGTTGTTGTTGTATGTTATGCCACAATAGCGCAACAACAATGCAACATTACAGTTTCAACAACAGATTGAGATGATATTTTCTACTAAAAGCCAGGAAAACTCTTTAAAACTGCTTGTAGGTAGGGTATTTCTGGCTGTTAGCATGTACATTGTGAACGTTGTGCTGTAGGCTATGTATGTCTAATCTGCATGACATGAAGTTTCCGTTGTGAAACTGATACACCCCTCAGCCTCTACCAGTAGAAAGTGAAAGTAGAGATTTGGGGGATACAAAAATTAGTACAAAGAAGACGACAGCCAGGTGTACAGGGGTGTACGTTAAAATTAGGTTAGATTAAAATGTGGTTTTGGGATTGGATAATAATGGTTTGAGTTTTCTTTTACCAGTAGCATACACAATTATGACGGAGAGACTGAAAGTCTGGCATGAAGGAATGTTAAGAGACTAAGATTGAAGAAAAAAAATTGAAGAGAAAATATGAGAATGGTGTAGAGATTTAGAGAGGAAAATAAATCAATGGTTAATTGTATGACAACAGAAATGGAGAAGTAAAGATTGGAGAGGACGGAAGAGAGAGTGGAATACTAATTATTATTTTATGCTTTCACAATTAGTAATTGATAGGACTCCTGCACACTTGGTCATGTTTATATCAGTTTTATCAGGTACAATGTATTAAGACTTCCTTTTGCTATCTGAGCGATCGGACGTGACTCTAGACATTGCCTAAGGAAACCCCTTTCTATCACTGGATTACTTTAAAAATTATGAAACATCTTAGAAATGCCTGAGATGTCGATCGATAGTGCTAATTTCCCATTTCCCCCAATTGTAGCCACTCCTCTGCTCAAATCCATCCAGCATATATGAATTAAATGCAGATCATGATGAAAATGTATCCAAAGCTGCCAAATCTTGTGCCAAAAAATGCATGATTGGTATCTAATTCTCTAAATCGCCAGGCCATCAGCCATTGTGACACTTTGGAAACGTTTCAACCAATTGTCTAAAAAGGACAGAGAGAATTAAAGATAGAGAGAAGAAGAGAGAGGGGAAAAAATGAAATTATAACTACATTTGAGTGGGGTGCAGCAAATGCTTCCTTTTATATCACAAGGGAGCACCTATGCGACTGTAAAGCAGGAATTGCTGTCTGGACTTTTTGCTTTGTCTGTGGAATCTACCTGCATTTGTTTGATACACGCGCTTGTCTCTACATGTAGGTGTAAGATCAGTACTCAAGGGATGCTTTCAAAAGCCTGCTGGATTGGATGACGTTGAAAGAATTCTATGAAGATTCATTGAAGCAGAAGATACATTGGAATAACATTTCATTTGATTTTTATTGAACATCGAAGAGGACAAAATTAATGCAAGGCCTGTCGGAGGAATGACTCTTTTGAAATTACCTGGATGAAAATGCATATGATCTGTGGAATCTATTGGAATTTGGTTTAGATATGTTCAGTAGCTTGGATAAATTCAAGAGAATGCTTTCAAAAGCATGCAGGATACTTTAAGAGGTGAACAATGATGGTAGACCTGCTTGAGGATCGATTATTGCAAGATTACATTCTTGAAGTGGAATCGAACATTTGTGTTTTGCAGAAATTATATTTGGAGATGAATGAATGCATAGCAATATAAATCTCTCTGAGGATTGACTCTGGTGAGAAAAATTTAGATAGACGTGTCGGGAGGAACACTTGCAATTGAAAGTGAAAGATGAATATAATCTGCAAAAAATGATAGCTGTAGAGAATTAGAGATGAATATACGCAGCCATGAGAATCTTTCTGAAGATTAACTCTTGGGAGAAAAACCGGATGAAAATACTTAGAAGAGAGCATAACGGATGAATGCTTTCTGCAAAAATGATAGCTCTAGAGATGAATATACATGTATGCAGCCATGAAAACCTTTCTGAGGATTGACTCTCATGAGATTATCTGGATGAACATGTGAAGGAGAGCAGAATTATGTTAGATGAAAGCATATCGCAGGGCCCCCAGGACTCTATAATTAGGCATTAGAATGGATACATCATAGGGAGATTCCTACCTGTCCAGCAGAGATTGGAGCGGAATATGTTCATTTGCACGGACACCTGGATATATATATGTAATAAGGATTATTTATATTAGGAATGGGATATGATTGGAATAGTTACGTTTTAGAGAAATGAGAAGTTGCATTAAAATCATCACCGAACAGGAAAGATCACTTTTATTTTCGTACCTCTCTCCAAGTATGAAAGCTGCGACCTGGACTTGATGATTCTTCAAACATACAAAAAAAAAAGGATTGGAGGATTTTGCCTAACCCGATAACCCCTATAGAAAGAAGGACTACGTGTAGGAGAAAGTACTCTGTATTGGTGTTGAACTTTGCATGTATTGCGAGCTTCGGCTGCAGAAAGCGTTATGTTACAGTTGTCAGAGGAACCTTTATTGACATTGATCATTCAGTGATTGATATCAGCCTTGAATCAAGGATTCAAAAATTTGATTTTAATTGATTGCGTAATTCAGCTGTCACTGCTGATCTCTACTCGAAGCGTTATAGGACAATCAATCCATTCATAAACATGTTGGCTGACCTATTGTATTGTATATATATATAAAATTCATATGCACAATCTGCACCGACTACTACTTTCAGTATACACCCTTATGAATAAGCACGTGTAGGAATATTGGAAGAGTGGAGCAGAGAATGCCATTGTGAGGCAGTAGGTGCATCAAGATGGGCAACAGCAAGAGCCGCTTCATCCATGTCGCGGAGATCGAAGAAGAGCGCAGCAAGAGGCGCGAGACGTGCATCCACACGGGAACGGTGAGGCGCTGGAACACGGTCAAGAGTGTGGACGCCATGGCCAACCGTATGGACAGTATCCTCGGGGTCGGGTACCCTGAGAGGCCGTTGAAGTCGGTCAAGAGCCTCGGGGACCTCATCTTTGAGAACTCTGTACAGAAGCCTCTGCAGGGACCTGTCAAGTTACGGGCAGCGTCTCAGAGACTAGCAGTTGTAAACGTATTAACATTTGCTACTAGTTCTATGCTTCATTTCACTCATCATGTCTTTTGTTTTTTGGTACAGCAGTTCTGCTTTGTTAATAATCTATGCAAGTATAATGATGTGGTGTAAATTATGTTTGTTCATTTTTATGAAGGGATGCTATAGAAAATGATGCTTGAAAAATATGCAGAGATTATTGTATGCATTCAAAGGTACAGGCAAATGCCCATATGCATGATGTCATCAAGCCAGGAGCCATGGGACTTTGTTAATGATGATAGCAATTGCACATTTTATATCATTTCACCTTATATTCTAGAAATGCTTGAGAGAAATGTTGATCTTTCTAGAACATTGAAGAATTTATACCAGAAATTTTCATTTGATATTTATACATATATATATATATATATATATATATATATATAAAAATAAAAAAAACATAAGTTGCAAAGTGTGAACAATAGAATCACCAAACATCTTACAAAATGTACTGAAACAGCAGACTCTCACTGAGAGCTTTGTTGGGCCAATCATGCGACTTGATGTGTTGAAAACAGTCTACTTGGGGAAAAAGAACTTTCCATGCTGCATTCTTCATGATATCTTTTCCACCATCTCTCTCATTTTAAACAGGAGGCAAGCGCATCAGACACAGGGGGCATGTCACCCTCGGGTCACCCAAACATGATGGCCAAGAAGGCCATGAAGGTGCCCAAGAAGATGCACAACAACCACACCAATAACTTCCAGTCTGATATGGGCCATGGTATGCACAACCAACTACCAAGGCCTGGCGACCCTGGAGGTACAGTTGATACACCCCTCTTTGTTTATCCCTTGTTTTTTACTCCTCTTAAGAGGTTTTACCTCATACCAGTAATGATTATGTTAGTGGTGATGATGCTAATGATGGTGGGGCTGATGGTGATGTTCATGAGGTCAATTATGAAGATGATTTTGAGCTGTCTGATGGTGACAGTGATGACGTTAGTGGTGGTAGTTGCAACTATGATACCATTACAACTATTATAACCATTACAGTGATAGGAGGGGGAGGAGGAGGGGGAGGAGGAGGGGGAGGAGGAGGGGGAGGAGGAGGGGGAGGAGGAGGGGGAGGAGGAGGGGGAGGAGAAAGGGGAGGAGAAAGGGGAGGAGAAAGGGAGGAGAAAGGGAGGAGAAAGGGAGGAGGGAGGAGGGAGGAGGGAGGAGGAGGATGAGGAGGGGAGGAGGAGGGGGAGGAGGAGGGGGAGGAGGAGGGGGAGGAGAAAGGGGAGGAGAAAGGGGAGGAGAAAGGGAGGAGAAAGGGAGGAGAAAGGGAGGAGGGAGGAGGGAGGAGGGAGGAGGAGGAGGAGGAGGAGGAGGAAGGGGGGGGGGAGGAAAAAGAGAGAGAGAGAGAGAGGGGGGAGGGAGATGGAGAGGAGAGAGAGAGAGAGAGAGAGAGAGAGAGAGAGGGGAAAAAGGGGGGGGGGTAATGGTGATGCCAATGGTGATGCCAATGATGATGACAGTGAGTAATGATGATGATAAAGATGACACTGATGATTATGTATCTTTATATTGTTGCCCAATGGCATACATTAATCTGCCACCAGTTGCAATTTATACAATAAAGAATGGTGATTGCTCATTAGTGTGTATTTCTTGAAATTTCAACTATACTTGAAAAAAGAATACTGAAATGCCAAATTTTGACAATTCAGCTTCCAACATTATCAGCTGTCCAGAACATCAATGATTGACGTTGTCTAATTAAACATTAATTTTTAAGACTTTGGCATTGTTGCATAAATTTCCAGAAGGGGATTAAAGGGGGAACTCATTTTATGACATTTCAGGCTCAGCTACAACATTAACCATCTGAAAAATTTAAATCCGCAAAATGTGGTCACACGTACATGTATGAAATCATTATATTTTTCCTGATACAAACTAAATTATTTTCAATACATGATGTCGTTTAAGAATAGTGGTGTATAGATTTAAATTTTCTCATTGAAGAGTTTTAGTTGTTGCCAGTTTGAATAGGACTAGATTATTTATTCAAGGACATGAAAAATGTCTTTCCCTGAATGAGGAAAGCAAAAGGAATACCAGCATAAAACCTCATATACCATATACATGTCAGACATGTACATGTATATCCTTCATATATTCTGATTATTTTGAATATCAGTATTATAATCCCTATTGTGTATGGGAATCGGGTGGCTTTTGTATTAAAGTCTATAGCAGTCAATTGGTTAGGTTGCACACAAAAACATATCTTACTGTACAAAGGAACTTCTGAATGTTGTTAATCTTGAGAGAAAATATTTGTAAAAACAATGACCGATCTGTAATATGTATGGTTACAAATGGTCCATTTTCAGAAATGGAGGAATATCCCAACTTTGAAGAATTCCCTGACCCTACTACCGGAAAAACAGGTACGAACATAGTCATGGTGATCACTGCTTCATAACTTTTTTTTATTGCAAACACCCGCTCATTGCAAATACCTGCTTTACATTTCTGTGCATATGATTTGTACTTATTTTATAATCCTGTAATTCTAATCTTTAAATGTAAATCTGTAACACCATGATCTGAAACTTTCTAGTGGCTAGATACTTGAGCAAATTTATTCATTCTAGTGTTATGATTCTATCATTTCTTTATAGCATGAAGCCATCATGAATATTGGCCCTGTTTCTTTAAAATTCTGATCCACAAATAACAAATGCTAAAACTTTATGAAAAATGTGCTCTCAGCCAATCAAATACGATGATTCCAGTAGCTTATAAACAGTTATTGTAACTGTCATTGATAAGAACTTTCATGAAACAAGGGCCGTGGACAACTAAAGAAATTTGGATTTAAATTTAAAAGTTTATTACACACAGAAGTCACTGGTTTTACAGTGTGCTTAAAATAAGAGAAGCACTTCATGTACAAGTACACTGTATATTCTTTAGATGATCAAACCAATGGGAAAACTTTCAAATATAAACTGTCAACCACAATTTTTTTTTCATTTCACCATCACGTGCCAAAGAACTTTCATACATCTACATCTACAACTCTATACCCATTGCATTCATATCTGTGAAGGCCCCTTGCTTGTCGGTTTAGCTGCTCAGGACTTTTCTATTAATATTTATGCCTACGTGAGCTGTACATGTAGTTGGCTGATTCTTACACCTCTGCGTCAGTCATCGTCATGGAGGTCTTCTATTGAGTCATACTGCTAGTCCCGGGCATTGGGTGTGAGGTCATGGCAACAAAAAAAGAAAAGTCATTCTTTTACATGTACGTTCTTTTTAACCCTTGCAATGCCATTCTTGTAGGCACCAACAATCTAAAATCAACATAAGTGTAAAATAATAATTCTATTAACTGATATTGGCATTATTTGCTTATGTAGCTAATGCTTTCATATCACACTCTTTAAAATGTCTCTATATGCTTCCTGTGTGGTAACCCTAGTTGACTTTAGCTCCAGTAGCAATTTACACAACATGGAGTATTTCAGGGAATAAATCCTCTCAGGTACCCATATTATAACCTGGGTCAAGAGACAAAACTCCAGATGAAATGCCTTTTGTAAGGACATGTATTGTTCAGGGATTTAAAGCTGTAATCTCTTCATTGAAAATACTAAAGACGAGTCACTTTAACTTATGCTCCTGCAATATGTTTATATTGTGTGACCCCAAAGCCCCCCAAAACAACTTAACCCAGGAACCAACTTTTTGACAATCTCAAACCGATTTAGTTATACATGTACTTTTTTTATTTTTATTTGAAGGACACAGTAGAAGCCTTGTCATTTTGGAAAGGTTATTATCACCTATCCCTTTAGGTCAAGAATGATATCAATTATTCATTTAGGGCCCTGTTTCTTTAAACTTGATATCAAGAACAAGTTGCAATAACTGTTATAAGCTACTGAAATTCTGGCAATCCTATTGGCCGAGGGCAAATTTGTCATAGAAATTCACTAGTTGTTATTGATATTAGTTTTATGAAACAGGGTCCAGATTGCAGGTGGACACACACAGTTTCATCTACACGTATTAGCTCAAAAAAGGTTTATCAGATGATCCTCCCCAATTTTTCTTTCAGTGTTTATAAGGCAATTCTAGATTCCTTTCCAGTGTTTGTTCCGTCTTTTGTAAGATATATATGCTTAAAGGAAAGTTATTCTATTATGAATTAACCAAGTTCCCAGCTTCAACTATGGGTAGTATAACATTTTAACCTTTCCCCTAGCTACATGTTTAATAAACCTTAAACTCGATTGTAAAGATTGGGATAAGTGTTGCTTGAGCAAATCTCAAATCACCACATTTCCCTATTGATTATCATCCACAGTCACTTTTATTGATTTAATTATTTTCTACCTTATACAATTGCATGATTATTTTGAAATAATGTTTTTGTGTGCCAAAAAAACAAGGGGGGGGGGGAGAATCAATCAACCAAGTTTTTACAATCAGTAAAAATCTTTAAATCAGCTTTGAATTGAGATCTAATAAGAATTGAGAGAATAACAAACCAAATAAAGAAATAAAGAAAGAAAAAAATAGGAAAAGATGGGTGTTAACCTGTCAAATTATTGCTCATCTTGAGTTGTATCCTTCATAGCCTTCAGCCATCTCTTGCCCTTGAACGTGAACTCCCTTGAAACTAGTAGTCCCTTGATCCCCTCTTAGGCACGCATCGTATCTCATACGTATGTCTTGAGGGGATCAGTCTTGTATTGGGACTGCATGAGGTGTGGAGATGATGTCACCTCGTGTTATGAGAACCAAATAATTTTTAAAAAATTTCAAAGAAGAAGGAGAAGAAGAAACAAATGATTTAGGAATTCCTTCACATCATCTCATTTTTATGTAAACTTAATGAACTTTTTCCCCCCTTCAGTTTGGCACACAATTTTGCATGTCTTTCTTTATCAGACAACTCTTTAATGATTTTTTAGGTGAAAGGCCATCCTCAGATCTTTCTCTACATAAATTAACTATATTTTGATGTTGATTTCTTTCTTGCTGTTAACAAACAATTTTCTATTATGAAGCGGTATAAAGATGATGTTTTTGTCATATGAGAAAGCCCTAGCAAGATCTTTTTCATATTGTTCTTTCCAATCTCATCTTTACTGCACAGTTTACTTATAAGTCGAAAGTTTAAAAACAACAGACAGGAAGAATAAAAACGATATTGTTATTAGGAAACTACCTTGCCATCCACCATACTCTCTTATATTCATACTCCAAAGTCCATAGTCCAGATACTGTATTTGAGTTCAAGTGCAAATAAATTTGCGATCATTCCACTCTTCAGCCATTAAATACATGTAGGTATATTAGTCATGAGATAATCATATGTACATCCAAAGCTCTCACTCTCTCTCTCTCTCTCTCTCTCCCTCTCTATTTCTCTCTCTTTCTCTCTCTCTCTCTCTCTCTCTCTCTATATTTCTCTCTCAGCAAGTGTTATTACCTATAGATGTAGAACCACATGTTACAAATCATGTGAGCAGCTAGTAGGGTAGTTTGTTTCTTGTGCTTTGATATTGATAAAGTGGTAAAATGGCTACTAAGACTTCTAAGAAGCGAGGTATGTTTTTGTACAATAATGTGATATCAGTTTTGAGACAATGCAGATGAATTTATTCCAATGTTTTGATTGTTTTATATTCCAATCTTTAGTACATTTCATTGTGTATTCAATCAATATATACATGCATTGTCTGTAGATTTATGAACGTTCAAGATAATCATACAAATTCCCTTAGAATACCAATAACTAGAATTAGTCCATATCACTGACTTTATCAATGTTTTTATCTTTATTCTGAATTGTTAGATGAATTTTCATAAATTATGTCTGAACTCTCTATTGTATACCCATGTTATTGGAACAACTTTTCATATCAGATGTTCATTAGACAAATGAATAGATGGAGAAATAAAATGAACAGTTTTAATAGTTTTTATTTTTCTTTGCCTTGTGTCCTTTAGTTCACCAGGTAGCCATTTATAACCCACAGTCAGCCCAGCACAACCAATCTCAGCCTATGCCACCAGGCCAAGGCCACCTAGGACACCAAGCCCAGGCCGGCGGGATGGGCATGCAACATGGTCAGCAACCACTACCGGTTAGTACCACAAAACCATGCCTACCTAAAGAATCGTGCATGAGTATTAAACACAGTGCCATATTAAGGTGACAAGTTAACGGGAAACATTAAAAACCCAAAATAGAATAGTAATTAAAGAAAGGAGCAAATAGTGTTTGGTGATTGATCCCTGAAGACCAGGGGAAGTTTCACAAAACTTGTCATCAGTGACAAATGACAGTTTTTGTTATAAGCTACTGAAATCATTGCTTCTGATTGGTTATCAGCAGACTTGTCACTGATTTTTGTCATTTGTCATTGAAAAAAAGCTTTGTGAAACGGGTCCCTGAAGCTTTATTCTACCCAGAATAACAAAGGGTAAGTTTTATTAAGTTACTTTGTTCAGTGTACAGTGAGCTTTAATTGAGCATCTGGGTAGATTGTGGATATTTATGTTAGTGATACTTACATGGGAAAGTTATATACGGTACTGTTGTGGATTTCTGTCTGCATTTGCAAATCATCAGTTCTGTCCAATTGAACAGTAATTTGGTTGTGATTGTGCCAAGTTGTCTATAAAAAAGTCTGAGCTATACTGAAGTAAATGGATGTTACAGAATAATTAAGGCAAAATTATATCAGTTCCCTGGCATTTTGTCTGTTTTGGGGGAATTTTTTCTCTCAACATACTGTAGCAGTAAAAATAAGGGGACCTGTAATACTTGATTTTCCCAAAGTTTCTGCTCTGATACAACTGACCACGATGCCTAGCAAATGAAACTTCAATTTACATTGGTAGAGTTTCAGTAGTGATATAAAACAAAAATGATATTGCAAATTACACATGCTGTACACCTACATGTACATGTACATTAATACAGATTTGACAACCGAGAAAAATGTTTCACGTCTGAGAGCTTAAAGGGTGTTGACTTAATGTCAAATGACAAGAGTTTAAAAATGCCTTTCTGGCTGTAAGTACATGTAGATGATTTGTTTTCGATTACAAATAGAGATGGCTGATTGCTGATAAGAAACGAATGGGGAGGGGGGGGGGGAGCAAATATCAATTAGGAAATAATATATGTTTATATTTTTTCACTTGGCATTACAAATTCATTATAAATTTGAAGCGCAAATTGGTGAATTACAAGTTTGTCAGATTCAGGGTAAATGCATTTACTTTTAAATGATAGTGATATATGTATAACAAGATAACTGGAATACATATACACTGAACAAGCATAGGATACTTTATTGTAGCTACATGTGTATTAAACTGACTGACATGATGTAGTTATAATGATTATAAACTTAATATTATATCTACGTAGGACTTGGCTATTACCCCAGTTAAAAAAATCTTGATGACTAACAGGCTTAAATTAGACTTAAAATCAATCTGGTTTTAATGAAGCATGGTGCCTGTTGGTACTGCAGATTGAGTCATCAATCAACTGCCCCAGTTCTCGTCAGAGTTCTTTCCCTTTCAGGACACAAATTTTAAGGGGCTACATTGATCACATTTTGTTCTTCAAATTGGCAACAGTTGCATTTTTTTCTTCTTCAAAGAATGGTTTGACGACCCCCCCCCCCCTTTTTTCTTTCTTTTTTTTTTTTTTTTTTTATATCTGTGTCCCCCCTTTTTCTTACGTATATGATGTTCCTGATGAGCTCAAATATGACGTTGATTATTCTGATCATGGTTTTATTCAAAGATTTTACTTCCTTCTGTGATTACTAGCCCTTTATACTACATGTACTTGGAAAATGATGATTGAAATAGATATCTTCCCTTTTTTATCTTTAAAAAGAACAAATGCAGAACATTATATGATATTAACACGATTGGTGAATGAATATTAAATGCTTAGGGGAAATACATGTACTGTATGGGGGTAGTTTTTAATATTTGCGGTGTCACTAAGTTTGATGACTTGTGCTGTAATTAGAGTTTGTGAGACAAGTTGAAATCATGGAAACAAAAATGAAGCCATTTCCAACAATTTGGTTACCTTGTATTTCTTCCATGGTATCCAACTTCTAAATCATGAAATTGTTAAAAAGTTGATGGTATTATGGGCATCTAGCCTTGTGCATGATGGTATCATTGAGATGAAAGATTGCACCAACATAGATCAAGCATCTCCTCAATGCAGTAGATTCATCTCTTCCGGAGAAACAAATATTTGATTTGATTGTTAACTCATCTCTATCGTTCTGTTCTGTTTCATGCATGTGCCACCGACTTGTATTGCATCGCCCTGCATGCTGTCAACACCGATTGTCCCTGTTCCCCCCCCCCCTCCCCCTCCTACTTGATATCGCTTGGAATGCCCCCTATCTTCCCCCTCTATCCCCCCTCTCTCCCTCATGCCACATGTCTTCTGCCCACCACCACTACCACCACCACCACCACCGCTATGTAGAACTATCCCTTGCATCAGCAACAGCAGCAACAATCACAGCAGCAACACACGTATTACCAACCCCCACAACACATCCCCTCGCAGAACCAAGGACAGAACCCCATGCAGCAGCACCAGATGGCGCCCTACCCCAACCTGGCCAACCAGCAAGCGCTCGTCACCCAGCAGCAGATGACAGACATGCAGATGGTACCCATCGTCCTGTCCGAGGCCCGGCAGCACCACTCCGACATCCGGTCGGCGGTCGGGAAGGTGTCGGATCGCATCGACGACCTCTGTAAAAAGGTAAGGATACTGGGAAGGGGTACAAGATGATGGTTCCCAGAGAAGTCATCTGCTGGCTCAGACCTAGAGGGATGTTAATTCTAGACTTGTAATGCAAACTTTAAAGCCCCGGTGCACTACTTATAGCTACTGTACTTGCGCCCTCTATATAGCAAACAATGCCTAATTGGTAATCATTGGTCCCCAATGGTCCCCCTTTTCTTATGTTAAGCTGATTTGATGAGATAACCACCCGTCAGTGACCATGAAGGGAGTTCTAATCCCTCCTGGCCAAACTAATGCAGATACGCTTTAATGCTCCTCTAGATCTCTGCAGATGAAATGACAAGTTGGTTCTTACATGTTCCGTCAATGGCTATGCACAAAGATATAAAAATGCAGTGTGTTAATGCTTCTCTCTTGAAGATAGACAAAATCCAAAATTTTATACCTTTAAAATATAAACAAAATTGAACGTGAAAAAAAAAAGTTTAGTCAAAAGGTTGTCAAGATCAAAACTAAGAATCAAAAGAAGAAAAGGAAGACATGAATACAGCAGGTTGAGTATCTTGCGAGTTTTAAGGAATCTACAACTTTATATTTATGATGAGAAGTCTTCATACAGCTCTTCCTACAATCCACAGACTTTAGACTAGAATTTTCTAGGTATTGTTAAAAAATTTAAAAGCTATGCTACAGCACTTCTAAGCTAATTACTTTTGGCAAAATCATCACTATTCATGTGTATTATACATTTGTAAAAGGAATGTAAATGTTTGTTTTTTCATAATTATAGAAGTGCTACATATGGTATTTATGTGTACTTCATAATGTTGCGTTAGTGTTGTGTCTTTTTCCGGGCTTATTGACCATGAACAATGGCGTGGTACCTCAAATATGTTTATTTATAAACAAAGTTTTTACCCTATGAATAGACGATTGGTCATCCAGTGAATTAAACAAAGAGGAGCAAGACTTTCCCTGTAAACTATCTTCAGAAATCAGAACCATAAATTTGGCCATCGAATGAATGTTCATGAAAGGAAAGATAATCAAAACAATTGTTGGACTAGTTCCAGGGCTTTCCAAAAATAACATCATGACTTTGAACTGATGATAAAGACAAAGGATTTTCTAATTAAGTGTGATTTACATTAATAGCAGATGTTCCTTCTGTGTAATTTCAAGAAAAGCTTTTTATTCCCCTTTTTATGATATTTAATGTTTGAAAACGATAAATAGAAAATCTTGTAGGGGGTTGGGTGGTGCATGGAAATGTTGCAATAATGCCAAGTTGATCACATGCACAGTGTCTATACATACTGTATGTAGCTTCTAGATTTTGATTAGCCTCAAGCCTTAGAAGAAATAACTCTAGAGACATAACTTCATACATGTATGTGTGCTATCTTTGGACAAACACTTCTATGAGTTCCAGTTCTATTGAAACAAAGGAAGATCATTTGACTTGAACGAACATATAGCTTGTTTCTAGCATCAGGAACAAACTTATTGCCCTGAGAGGTTAGAAGACACCCAGAACTTCATAATGCGAGTGGAAGACACATGTATCTATGGCAATGGCCGAGAGAGTAAGAATAGATTTAACAACATCCGTAATGCTATTCGCCAACAGGTCAACGACATCCAGCCGACCCCATCCCAGCCGGCGTTGCCTAGCAACCAGGCAATGGAAGCGACAGTCCTGATGTCGAACATCTCACGCATCGTGCAGGAGAACGAGAGGCTCAAGGATGAGGTTTACGACAAGAATACGAGGATCGAGAAACAGAATAACAAGATTTCAGAGTTGCTACAGAAGAACCAGCTGTGAGTATAAAACATAAAGTTAAAGATTTGTACCTAGGCCAAAACGACCCCAAGCTGAACAATTCTGGGTCATTTGGCGGTAATATGATTGTTTCCTTTGGTCTGTTGTTGGCCTGGGAGTTGTTTCACAAAGGTTCTACACTGTAAGTCGAGCTTAACTCTAAGTTGGACTTAAATATCATGGAGATTTGTAGCCTTAAAATAAAATATATTCAGAAGTAAAAATTTAGGTATTTAAAATTTTGTTCATAAATTCAACATCAAGAACATAAAATCACCTTGATGTTAAAAAATATGAAAAATTTGAATCAACATTTTATGCCGTTTAAAATAACTTTTACAAAATATTTTCAGAGTTGTTAACAGCTTTCCATAATTGTTAAGTCCAACTTAGAGATAAGTTCAACTTAGGATCTTTGTGAAACACCCCCCTGGTGTCTGTCTTGTTGATAGTAGGGACTTTTAGTTTTGCATGGACTGATACGTGTGACGTCCATTCAAGGCAGTGCATTAAAAGGACGTCGATCGTAGCAATCCATGTTGTCTTCGTGCAAATCTAAAAGTCCCTAATATCATCCTTCATCTCCCTCTGTTCTTTCCTTCCTTTCCTTTGTTCTTCTTTCTGTCACCAATCTCTTCCTCATGTTCTTGTAGAGTCCTTTTCTTTCTCTCTCTCTCTCTGCATTTCTACTTCAATCTCATCCTTTCTTTTTATTATTCTCTATCCATCTTCTTCATACAATATGTATACATTCGTTGCTCTTTGTCTTTTTCTCTCTTTTTATATATTTTTATTCCTCTTTTCTGCCTCTATCTCTTTTCCCTCTCTGTAAGCTATATTCTCATCCCTGTCCCTCAGTATTTAGATTCCGTATCTGTCTCCCTGTCTTTTAACTTTTGCTCCCTTCGTCTGTCTCTCTTGAATCTGTTCCTCCCCCTCTTTCCTACACCAGAAATAGGGAAAGACTACAGGCAATATCAGCCAAATTGCAACAAAGCCTCAATATCCCATTTTTCATTTTGATATGCATACAAAAACTATTTATTCAAAATAGACTTGTATCATGTGCCAGGTCTAATCTGATTAGAGACATACCCGATTATTTGTTATCATGTCTTGTTATGTTCTGAAAGGAAAGGAAATAGTCAATTGATGTGAAGTATAATTAAATAGATCATTCAACTGACTCCAACTTTATCCCTCTTTATTCATCAGCATTACATGTAGATCTATATGAAATGTGTGAATAGTGTTTTTATCGATGTACATGTATGTCATGCATGTCAGTCTAGTCATAAAGCCAATGTGGAAGTCCAACAGTAAAACATATGTCAATCTGAGTGTGAATGCATCAAGAAGAACGCTGCTACCCTTGTGACCACTCGGTGTGTTCTTAATAGTTAACCACTCATTTATATCCCGTTCACACTCTACATGTACATGAATACATACATACATTAATGTACATTCAGTCTGTATTGACATACTTGTGTGAACTTACTGCATGATTCTCAATAATATTGGCTTGTTCAGACTGTAATTGTAAAGCAAACTATTCCTAAAGTGAAATAAAAAGAGATGTGCAATATTGCCCTTTTGTACATATATATGGACAAAGCAATTAGTAAAATAATTAAGCAAAGTTCATATTTAAAAAGTGCATGTAGCAACTGTTTTTGGTTTACCTCATCAAGTGGGAACAAGGCTAGCCCTAATGGAAAGTGTGCATGTATGTGGAGTGCAGTGGAAAATTTCATATACATGTATGTACATGTACACTGCTCTATTTTAGTTGTGTTCATACTGTCTCACTTGTGACAATGGAAACACAGCCCATTAACACTGTACATGTACAAACCCATAATGCCAACCTTGTTCACATCTGCACTACAGGCATAATTCCAAAGGAGTGAATCACGATGGCCTGCCTAAGAAGTGGGTAGCATGTACATGTATGAACATGGTTGCATTTTGCCTGCCAAGAATGACCCCCTAGCGTGAATGCACTATTCTCAGATTCTATTTTGATTTTTGAAGAGTTTGAAAACTACTATTTTTATTCTATTATTTTGAACCTTGTGTTCATATTGACAGTTTTTAGAAAATCGATTTATCTCAATATAACGGTATGAGCATGTGTTTCTTTAATGTAATGTACAGTTTGTTATATCTTAGAGAATCTTAATTCTAATTGTAAAATAATATGATTACATCTTACATGTATCTTTTCTGTAAAGTTGGTATTTATGGACATCAATATTATTTATTCCAGTTGATTTAAATACCACTGCCTCATTCTGATCTTAAAGTGCTGAAATAAATATTTAATATCTTTCATAAGAAATGAAATTCAAACTTCATATCCTATAAATTGCCCATGGAAATACATTTATGATCTAAAAAATTAAAGTGTCGCTTGCTTCCATGTTCTTCACTGCCATGTGAGTGTTGAATTATGGTTACCTCTTTGATTTGGGGATGATTTTTGTATGCAGCATGTGTGCATGTTAGTGTTTTTTTCTCTCTCTCTCTCTCTCTCTCTCTCTCTCTTTCTCTTTCTCTTTCTCTTTCTCTTTCTCTCTCTCTTTCTCTTTCTCTTTCTCTTTCTCTTTCTCTTTCTCTCACTCTCTCTCTTTCTCTCTCTCATTATCCCAAACAGATTCAGTTCATGAAATGAACCATTAGAAATATTGCTCAGGCAGTGAAGGATATAGAGTTATAATTACAATAAGAATTAATGTCTCATTGTAATTTTTGCTGTAATGACTTTAATAGCAATTTCAATATGAAGATACCTTGACTGATCCAGCATTTCTTTAATTTTCGGTCTTGCATTTAGCACTTTTATTTTATTTTATTTTATTCCAGTAGGATATCCTTTTGAAGCATGGAGAAAGGCACAAATTCAATAGAAACCTTGATATGTTATGTTGTGAAAAAAAATGAATAAATGAATAAATGCATAAGGACTTAAATATCACATATACGCATATCACTTGTTGAGAGCTAGTATAGTCAGTGCTATCCCTGGTGTTGTGATACTTAAGTCTTTATTTGAGATAAAATCACAATGTACTTTTACCTTTTGTACAGACAAATCTAGGTGATATTTCAAGAAGAATAAAACAATTGAAACAACTGACCTTTTATTTGTAAGTCAAAAGAATGAAATAAGAAGATTATAATCGACTGTCCCTCCATAATCTCAAGTGCAATAAACAATGGAACCCAATGTTATTGTTACTATTTATATCAGTATTAGTACCATTGATGACATGCTAAAGCTTCTGTTTGTTACCTATGGCTTTTTGTGATGATTCCATTGACAGGTACGTGGAGCAGAGCAACTCGCTGATGGAGAAGACCAACGACTCGTTCAAGCTGACGGCAACCCAGTCCCAGCAACGGGTCCTGGAACTGGAACAGGAGAAGGTAAAGAAATCAGCTCACATCCAAGAATTGGTAATTTGACCCGTTTAAGTTTTTTCTGTTGGTCATGCTGCCCCCGGAAAGTTCCCGCTTCTGATGAGGATGAGGATGATGATGATGACGATGTTGCTTGGAGCTTGACCCCACCTGTTCCTTCCCACCCGATGGCTACTTCCTCAAGTCCTTCTTGTTGATTGGTGTGCCTAAGTCCTGTAGTTAGCTTGTAGAAGCGGCCTTGATTATGTCTTTGGCCTTTGGCCGTTGGTCACCAACCCCGTATGACACCTGACCCCGTAGTAACCCCCCCTCTTGCTTGATGCACCTGTGCAACCAATGAACCTGTTCCAAGATGTTAAAACTTCCATTAATCCTGAATTGAAATGTCCTCTGATTCAATCTGTATTAACTGTAGTTCAGAGTATTTCTGTCTCTTGCCTGTATGGTCCCTCTTATAGACCAACCTCCTTGACTGATCGATAACATCGATTGAAGCCAAGAAGCTTTTGGTAATAATGCCCCTTCCAGAACCTCTGTCCAATAGCTATACTGTAGACTTGAGTGGAATGGAATGATCCCTTGAATTGTTGTGAACGTACCCCCAACCCCCTGCCCCTTCCAAAATTGCAATTGAATACAAAAGAAATGAACCAGATAAAGAAGTGCTAAAACATTCTTGTTACATCATTTGGTCTTCTCTTGAAATTGTATGAAATAGCTCACCTATAAGCTGCCATTCAAAGTTAAATCTCTTGTCATGGCAGGGAATCTATTTTAAATGACATGTTTTGCAAACTTTTATATTGCCACTATAAGGAGAAAAGGAAACATCATTTAGGATGACAATGCTATGGTGAATTTTGATTAGAAATGTTAATTTCCGAGAAACAGCATTAAACATCAACATTGTCCAAAGCTGACTATTAAATGTAGCATTTTAAAATTTTCTTTGAAGCTTAATATTTGAGCACACGTTTCTACTTTATAAAAAGTGAAGCCACTAATTTTACCACTTGAGCTTGAATGTTTAGATCAACCCATATAATTTGGGAATGTTACAATTCCCCTCTTTTAATAGTAGAAGCACCCAACCCATTTTATTTTCTGTGTAGTTGTAGCAGACACCTTGAGAATGCTAGTATGTAAAACAGCTATGGAGAATGGAACATCTGCTGAGAGCCACAAGGATGTTCACTCATGAATATTCAAAAGGGTGTTCACTCATGAATATTCATCAGTATTGAGTGGCAGTACCCCAGTCAAACCAACACCAAACCAACTCCAAACCAACTCTAAACCAATACTAAACTGGCTGATAACTGTTCATTTTTTTGGTCAATTGGGGTAGTGAGATTCTCTTGTTTTTTCTGTTATTGATCAGGGCCCCGTTGAACAAAACTTACCATTGATAGTAACCTTGCCATCAATAGTAACTACCATGAAAACCTTGATTTTAATTTTGATTGGCTGTTGAACCCTGTTACCATTGATGGTAAAGTTACCATCAATGGTAAGTTTTATGCAACGGGCCCTGGTGTTGGTCTCATGTGTTTGACTGGGTGACTTACGTCCTTCTGGCTCCTAGCAGATAACAGTTCTTCAAAGACTTTATGTAAAAATATAACTGGCATCCTATTGGCTGAAAACAGGTTCAGATGACCTCTGAGTTGACCAATGCGACCTCAAAGATCAGTTCGCTACAGATGGAGCTGTCCAATGTCCAACAGAGAGAGGGCCAGCTCCGAGCACAACTGAACGGCGCCATCAACAACAAACATGAAAACCTGGGAGAGCTGGATCAACTCAGGCAACAACTCAAAGGTTGGTTGTGTTCACATTTTTTCTTGTTCTTTACCTTCTTTTCTTCTTCTTCACCTTCTTCTTTCTTTTGCCTTTTCTTTTTCTTTGCCTTTTCCTTCTTTTTCTTCTCGTTCTACTTTTTCTCCTTCTTATTCTTCTTTTTTTTATTCTTCTTTTTTTCTTCCTTCTTTTTTTGTCTGTGTCAGTGTTCTTATGTTTTATTTTTACATTTCCTTTTTTTCTTCTGTTTCTTCATAAATTATGAACATACACATATACATGTACACATTTGACTTTGAATGGTGGCATTGAAATATGTGGGAAACAAAGAATCAACTTTTACTAAATCAATTTGTTCCCCCTATCTCTCTCTCTCTCTCTCTCTTTATTTATCCATCTTTTCCTTACATCCTTCCCTTTTCTATTCCCTCCCTATGTTTTCGGTCTTACCCGTCTACATCCTATTTTCACCATCTCTTCATTCCCCTGCTCCTTTTGGCTTCCCATCTTCCTCTTCTGTCTCCTCATCACATCTCCCAATCTGCTTACCATCCCTCCATCCCTCTACCTTCCGTTCCCTCCATCCCCGCAGACAACGACAACAAGTACACGGAGGTCCTGAAGGCGCTCAAGGATGAGAGGCAGCTCAAGAAGCAGCTGGAGAACAAGGTCACAACCATGGAGGAGGAGCTCTCCGAGATGAAGATGGAGAGGGATTCCATCGAGAAGGTGGGTTCCCCAGGATAACATCATGTACCCCTTCATACTCATACATGGACAAGATGATTTGCTTAGTCTTTTGTAACCTTTTTTGTTACAGCTAAAAAAATCCCTCCTAGACCCGTTGATATTCCATAAGGCCTTTAAAAAAAGATGTTGCATTGCCCTTTGCGACTGACCCAAAAGTCTTGAAATGTACATGTACGGTCGGCTTTTAAATTTTTATCTTTTTTTAACCATTTTCTCTGCATCTTAGATCCAACAATCTGTTTTTGAATATATAAAACAATTTGCATTGGAAATCTAACATTATAGATGAGAATGTGTACACAAATTCTGCATGGGAATTTGTATATTGCAGTGGACTGATGTGTCTTGGTGTTGTGGGTAGACTAACAAGACGAAACAGTCGGTATGCATTTAAGTAAGACAACCGATGTTAATCCTACATACAAATGCAAAGACAAGGAGGATTGGGAGGGAAGGGGAGGAGGACTAATGCATACTTTTAAAACTCTCCTAGATAGAATTTAGTTTGATGAACAGTTGAGTTGACCACTGTTTAACTTGAATGTGTTAACTGCCTAATGTTTGAATGTTTGTGAAATTCATCCCTGCAGTGGGCGGTAGTGCCATCAAAGAATAAGAATGTCGTACCATGCTGTAAGCATGTCTTTACTAAAAAACCTAATATTTAAATCCTCTAAAATAAACAACAACCTGCCCTCTGGAATTTGCTCCTGTCAAATCATGGGCAATGTCATAACAAAATAAAGAATTGAATATGAAACCTCAGCTCTTGAAAATTTATTTATAGACATTGTTCTAAAACTAATAGTGGCACAAGTGGAGTAAATATTTTAGGATTGTCATATCTTTGATAGATTTTCAACAACTTTTTTTGTTTTTAATAGAATCTGTTAGAAAGGAAGAGAAAGGCAGCAGCAGAAAAACAGAAATCGGAAGAGGATATAGATGATATCAAAAGATCATTTGAGGTAGGATTACACTCCTGGAATAGAAAATAGAAACATTCACATATCTTTTGTTGCATCGTTTTGTTATAAAATGGAATATCATTTTATCAGAAATGATGCATAGATATAAATTTATTCTTGAAAGTAGTGTTAGCTCTTTGATCAAATAAAATAGTTATCTCATTTCTCCAATATTTTGATTTTTATGATAATCCTATTTTAATAATTTTATGCCAGTTTGGTATTTTTTTTCATCTTCATTCCCACATATTTGTTAAATTTACTATACTTGTAATTATTTGTTCTAATTGTTATGCGAATGCTTTGTAGTTCTTATACTAAACATTTGTTTCGGGGTCATATTTTTATTTTGCATGGGTATTTTGATTTATATTCGACATGTTTTTTTTTTTTGAAGATACTTGCTGAAAATAGGTATCTAGTGATAAGTAGTTGTCGTGAAAATTTTCAATTTTTTTCTGTTGGCTTGTACTTTCTTCTTAGCCTTGCACTTAAAATGAATTCAATTTTGTTTCTAAAAAAAACAAAAAAACTCAGTGACATAGGACCCTTTTTTCTGCAAGGAAGCAAAGAAAAATGAAGAAATGAAGTAAACAAATGGACACTCCTTTTACATGCGATGTGGGATAAATAATTTTCTGCTGAAATAGATGAATATGAAATCAAACTTTTGTGTCTTGTTGATAAGAAAGACCCAAATTTTAACTGAGAGTAATAACATGACCCCCATATACACACAAAGCTGTTGATTTTAAATGCATGTTTTTTTCTTTGCCTTTTTTAAAATTGTTAAGGATGAGATCTTACAATTGAAGAGTAAAATCAGGCACCAGAAAACATCTACGGATGCTGCTACAGCAGAACAGGTAAGATCAGACGAAATCACAGAACCAAAGAGAGATTAAATAGCTCCATTCAAGGGCAGGCAGGGGGCCCGGGTGCTGCCCCCCCCCCTATAAAATATAAATTGAATTAGTTGTACATCCTAAGGAGAAGATGTTCCCTGCTCAAGTGTCTTTCCCCTCCCTATCTTGGAGATGAATTAGTGCACTTGCATATCAATCGAGAAAGAAAAATTGATTTCCTTCAGAAAGAAGTGAGAGGTCAATGAATATTTAAATAAAGAGAAATTGATGAATTTAGAAGGAAAAAAGTGTAATGAAGAAGGGTTACAGATGAAGCGATTTAGAGATCATGATATACCACATTGAGGGGTCAGTGACACAAAGACGCAACTCCATTTTTGGCCAATTTGAGAAAATGTGGTTTATGTGTCACTGAGCACTTGGGCCTTAAGGAGTTAAGTCTATGTTTCACTAGCCATTGACTTCAATGGGGTGTTGGGTGGAGTTAAGTCATTGTGTTTCCTGGAAATCCCACATTTTTTTAAACATTTTAAAATCAAATACTTATTTTGGCAAAATATGGAGTTACGTCTTTATGTCACTGAACCCTCGACATGTACATGTATCCCTGAAAGTCAATAAATGATCACACTTGGTTACCTTTCGTGTTTTACGTTGTACCGTTCAATCTGTCAATCTGATTAAGGTCTCTCAGGTGGAGAGGGAGCTAGAGACCCAATGGAGGGAGCGTTCTGATCGACTCCTTCTCCAAGCCAAAGAGAAGCACGAGAGAGAGATGGAAGATGCAAGAGATGAGAAGGAACAAATCAAGAGAAAACTGGCTGCCACTGAAACAAAGGTAGGAAGGAATGTCCTGGATGGTATATAATTCATTATATACCTCTCTTTAGTATGTTGAATACCGTAAATCTAGTCATCTTGAGCCTATAGAAACAGCGATGCCTCTCATAGCAGTCAATATTATCTATACTATCGACTGGAATTTTTTTTTTTTTTTTTTTAAATGACTTGGGCATCGGATTGTTTGAATTACTGATCTTTATTTTTTTCTAATGACCAGTAACAGATTAGGAAACATGTATACATTGTCACAAGTCCACTATAAATATCTTTTTAAGGATCTATACCATCATTTTACAACACCAGGTTACAATTTGTTTTTCTTTTTCTCTCTCTCTCTCTTGCTGTGCAGATGCTAAACGTCAGAGCTAATGACGATAACAAAGATGAGGTGGAAGGCCTCCAGAAGCAAGTCCAAGAAATGGAAGTCTGGAAAGAGAAAGTAAGTGTAATTTTGAGATATCAGTAAAGAGCATTGAAATAATGTCATCTATGATTCTATGATGCCACATGAAGTCAGATACATGTAGCAAAAGCTGGGCTAAACATTAAATGCACCTGTATTAGTCCCTGCACGTATAAACAAGCAATATTATTAATCAGTAATACATCACTTTCCTTTTTTCAAATACTCTTGTGTCTATGTCTTTTCAGATTCATTTATCAAGTTTGAGAGCTTTGTTTGTACTTCTTTTGTTTGATTTGAGTCGTGTTTTTTCTTGCCGAGACAGAAAAGGTGACATTATGGTAAATTCATTCCCATGAAAGACATTTTGTGTCCAGTTTTCACAATGAAACATAGGAAGTAAAAATAAACCTTTTGAAAGTTAATTTGTAACAAGTGTGATAAAAACCAGCTGACACTTAAAGGGTTAGTGATCAATCATTTCTTATAATTCATTGATTCTTTCTCTTCCACCCGTCAGTACGACAGCTTGCACTCGAGCGCAGTTAGCATGAAGGAGCGATACGAGACGAGGATTAAGGAGCTTATCCAGGAGAAAGCTGCAGCGGCCGCATCATCTGCTACCATCGCACCAGCACCAACAAACATTGTTGATGAGGTAGGTTTCAAATGCAATAAACATATGGAATTGGATTCATTTCAACTTATAGCCCCTCTGTACTAGTTTGGTCAGGAGGGATTAGACCCCCCACCATGGTCACCGACAGGTGGTTATCTCATCAAACCAGCTCACAGTTAACATAAATAGGGGATCATGGGGGACCTATGGTCACGGATTAGGCATTGTTTGCTATATAGAGGGTGCAAGTAGCTATAAGTAGTGCAGTAGGGCTTTAAGATGGTAGAACACATGAGCTTGTCTGTGGTCAGTTTTTTATATTGACCCCACATTGATGAGATATGTTTTATAAGCAGTACAGCTTGTGGAATTGAATGCATTTATATTACACTGATTGTATAGACACATGCTCACTGACAATTGCTCGTTAGTTACTACTAAACCTATTATCATTTGTGAGATAGGTTTCTTGTGTTTTTCATCCCATGAAATAAAATTTAAAGTTACCACTGTATGACACATCGTCAGCGAAACTTGCTCCACGGCAGTCAACTTCCAACACAAACTGAATTCCTAAATTCAACCCGGTTTCAAACACTGACCCTCACCCTAAACCTAACCTATAACCCAATTGCATCCCAAGACCATATCCTTTTGCCCCTCTTTATATGAGCTTGAATATTTAAAATAGAAAACCCAATTTTGACCCTTGTTTTCTGACCCCTGTATAGGTCAAAAAGGTAATGAACAACGTCTACCACTCTCTACGAGGCGAGATCGACACCAGCGAGAACTACAAGGGTAACGAGGTCCTCAACATCATTATGAATACCATCAAGGTGAGCGTGGCAAAGGTCGGCAAGTAGGAATGAACCTCACGACCTTTGACCTTTATCATCACCCAGTGTGATCTTTGACCTTTGAAGTGTGGTGTAGGGAAGGGTTGCATCAAGTCACAGTTGGGGATGAGCTTTTTGTGTGTATACCTGGACTCTGCAAGAGTGAGCAGCTCTTTGATCTGTCTTGAACTCTGACTTTTTGACCTGTGTGACCTTATGACCCAGTGCAATGAATCATGAAACATTTTCCCCCAAGTATTTACCCTGACATGCAAATGAAGTGTGATCATGCATGCATTCAAATTTATTTTAAGTGGGAAATATGTTTTTTGTCTACTTGAGTCTAGTGTGTTGTGTAACTTGTCCACATAAGGGGCATACAGTATGTCAGACTGTCAGTGAATTATTTGGGACTTTGTAAAATCTATCCTTTTGAAGTCATGTGGCATGTGTACAGAATCATAACTTTTCTTTAATTTTGATTTGTTTTCAGGAAAATGTGTGACTGAATAAAAAACAAAAAATGTTCGAAATTTATAAAACGATAAAATGCTGCGTGCCTCAAGTCAAATTTTATTACTCAAAGTTGAAAAAAGGTGTATTTCCTGCTAACTTTAAAATCATTTGTGCAATATGAAGTAAAGCAAACTTGATTAAGGTTAAAGGTCAAAGATCAATGTCACTTTGTGCCGTACGCGTGCCCTGGAGTCACAAAGCAAAAATGATGGTTCATGGCAGTTTGATACTGCCATGATACATGTAGTTAGCTGTAAATTAAAAACCCAACCTATTTTGATAATGATTATTGTATTATATATGAAACCTGATTTAAAATCAGACTATAATGCCTTTTTCCCTGGTGGATATTGTTCCATATTTTTTGTATTTAATCTTATCATATCGTGATCATCATCATGCACTATTGGAATGTCTTCTTTCATTTCTGGTAATCTATGGTAGTTACTTAACTCTACATGTACACTGTATCTTACTGGGATAAAACAGGCTTTCATTTCATCTGTCTAATAGCATATTTGTTGGGTTTGTAATAGTCCCAGCTCTTTGCATGTTCATTGGATTTTATTCATTAGATCTGACTGCTTTTAATACATGTATGATGTATTACATGTACAAGAAGTGGTTTATGATCAGCTTATATTGTTGTTTGCCTTACAGAGGGGCATTTGCAATGGAATCTAAACGAGAAATTCCAGTGCTAATGCCCTTCTGCTGGCCCAGTAAAAATGCATCTTCACAAAGATCAAGATCTGTTTGGCTGCTTTTGGGAATGTTTTCCTTAGGTTGTTGTTGTTTTGGAAGTGCTATGTACACTGTAGCGCAAACTAGAGTAGTACACCAAATATATCGGTATTGACTAAATGGATATACATTACGATTGCAAAAAAACATACACAAATTTCAAGCTGCATTAAAGGGGAGAGAAGTCTGTGTTAGTGAAAGTCATGAAGTCAAAAGAAAAGCCGAGAAAATATATTAACAAAAATGTAATGGATCTTTTGTTTTTAATTGATAAATAAATGTGCAGTGTGCTAAAGACGATACCACTCCTATGTTTTATGTATACAAGTTTTGCAAATATCTATAGTAGTTAGTATTTTTCTAGTATGTGTTTGTTTCCACTCGCCTCCCATTGTATTATACACCATGTTTTAGTATGTCTCTGTGTGTTCCTTCATACTAATAACTATAATATTGTTGCTGCAAAGCTTGTGGATATATACAATACAGGTACATTTCTTGTTTAGCATATGTTGTAGTTGCTTTCCCTTCAATGTGTGTGTGTTTATGGTATGCTGTGTATGTTGTTAGTAATGAATGCATATAGATGTAGGGGGAGTTTCTCCTATAGTTATTGGGTGTATGTAAAACATGTATATTTTTTAAAGTCTTATATGATTTCAAATGAAGGATACACTGTACCATGCATGTGGCTGATTGTTTCGCAGTGTCTACTTTTTTCCCTTTTCTTATAGCCAAGTTTTATATTTTAAATGTCTTGGAAAAAATCACTATAATTAAATAATTGTGGTTCGAAGAAAGAAAATTCAAGAAAGGTGACATTTTGCTTTTTCAAATTTATGCAGACGTAGGTTATCATTGCATAGATGTACTTTATTGTCAGCCATTCGCTTTGTATAAATCTTGGCTTCATGAAATAAGCAAGCTCTTCAAATATTCTCATAGCTTTATCATCATAGTATTGAATGAGTAGTGGAGAAGGTAAAGAAGGAAAAATAAAAGATTATTGTACAAGTACATTTTGATGGACTGCATAACTGATTGCTATTATGTAATAATAGGCAGAGGATGAAAGGTTAGAATATGAATATCACTCTAAGAGGAACAGATAGAATGAAAGCTTAGCTTACCTACGCAGAGGCTGATTCTAGCTCTGGTGTTAACTATGTATTGAAAATAACAACATCATTAATTACACCTTATCTGTGAAAGTATCAATCCTAATCTTATTCACATTATTATGATTATTGTTTGAAACCAACATGTAACCCACATTATACCTGATGTTTTAATGAGGATGGTTACCCTATAACAAGGAATACTTATACCAACAAACACTAAATATGAAGTCTTCCAATATACTTTGACTGGTTGCCATATACAAGACTGTTAGGTGCATTAATGAATGGATTAAAAGAGTTTTGAAATTATACAAGACTAACCATTCAATGACTTTTGTGCACATTATAATATAAATGACCAAAGAGTCGATAGTATATTATTACATGCTTTATATAGGACATGTATGTTAAACATGACAGTCATATAGCAAGTATGGTAGTAAACATTAATGGGTAGTTTATTTACAGGTTATTTACTTTAAAGAGCGCTTGTGCAATAGAATGTTAGGCTTACTCTGATGCACATGTAAGTGAGAGAAAATAGCACACTTACAAAGTATCAATTATTGATAAAATAGTTTATAAATATATAAATATGAACATATATTTACATTGAAGTACATATCATTATAGCCTGGTTTGCATGCAATATTAGTTCTATGCAATGAAATCTTTTTAATGAATGACAAAATAAAACTTGTATACATTTGATAAGTAAAGTCAATTCTCTACTTTCTAACAATTTGCTGTGAAGTGTGCCACATATTTAAATAAGGCATGACATAGTTCCTATCTCAATTTTATCAGGAAATATATAAGTCATAACAGTAACACTTCAATAGTTTCTCAGTTTTAAGTGGGAATATTGGGACCCTTTTTGGAGCTATCATGATAAAATAGTGATACTAATACCTTGAAGGAGAGAGAGAGAAAGAAAGAGACAGAGAAGGAGAGAGATAGAGATGAGGGACAAGGGGTGGTGGAGCCTTTTACAGAAGTTACTGCCTTTCACAAGGAGATGAGAAGTTAGAGGGGGGGGGGGGGGGGGGCACTAATTATTATATTCATGTGTAACGATATATCAAATGCCCCTGTGTAATTGTAAGGCATTAATGCTCAACTACCCACACACTTAGATAGGGCTCTAAGCTGTAAACCAACATGATGTAATTTACATATACACAAACAAATATCCTCCCTAGTATTTAATTACAGTATAGTTGAAGTAAGAGAATCTTTTCCTTGGCACAATCAAATGAATACACACTGAAAGAATGTTTTTAGTGGATAAGTTTCACAGCTATGGTGGTGAAAATTCATGTGAGTAGCATATGCATGATATGGACTGGAGAACGACTGCATGGTTATCTCGCCCTTTTTTATTTGATTTTTTTTTCTACATGTAATTGTATGTTGAGAATCATAAGGGCATTAGAGCAAGTGAGCTCTTAAGAGTGCTTGTGTCCTTTATGTGTTTTCCTGCCATCATTTTGAATACCTCAGTAAACGTCTACTTTGTATAAACTGCATGGAATGAGTGGGTATTATAGCCATGAATGTGCAACTTGAATCCTGATGGAAATGCATGTGACAGGAATGTCTACAGTAATACTGAACCTACAAAAACTTGGGATACATTATCCAATATGAATGAATGCTGCATGTATTTTTCTTTTTTCTTTTTTTCTATCAAAAAAGGGGCATATAGAATTACATGTATAAACCCATTACCTACTAGAAATGGTCAGCTCAAGTGCTAAGCCTATGGGGCTAACAAAATGCAGTAGTCAACAGGTTAATAATAGTATCTTCATGTACATGTACAGGTCTATGTTCAGGGCTACACTTGATGTAACAAAAAGATCAAAGTTTATTAGAAGACTTGTGAGGATATCTAGACATAGAGACTCTTTCATATTTTATCATGCACTTATAAAACCATCATATGAACTTGTTGAATATCAAGCCCAAGATACATGTACATGTAATTTGTGCTGGAGTCTATAGGAAATATGTTTTGCACCAAAATCAAATCATATCCAATTTGGTAATTAAAAGACTTGGTAATGATAGCAACAACGAGTGTGGGGTGTGCACCAAACCAAGAGAACTGTCATCAACTATTTTGAGGGGAAAATTCTGAATTTTTCATGATGTACTTGTAATATGAAAGCAATAACCGCTGTTGTTCATAGTTTATGAAGGTGATTAACCTTTTCCAAGATTCCTGTTAAATGTTCATTTTGAGCAATTTTTTGTCTTGATGCATCGTCTTGCTATTAAAATATAGTGAAATTTGGCATGTATTGAGTAGTAAGGGAAAGTGCATTTTGCATTGTGTCATTATTCTTGTAGGGAAAAGTGGTGAGTAAAATGTACATGGGTTTTACATTACACTAATAGAAAACTACTTTCAACAAATTTCCAAAAACAATTATAGCTTTGAGAAAAATCTTAAAATCTAAAGATAGCTACATGACTACAAGGCAATATCAAAGTATTCATATGAGTCGAGTTACATCAGAGAGAAAGAATTAAATTGAGCCCAGTTTAAAAGAATCATTAGTCACTGTTCATATCATTTAGCATGGTGGGTTTATTATTTGATGAACTGAATGGAGAAAATGGCCTGTATTTTAAGGGATACATGTCATGTAGCACATAAGGGATACATGTACATGTAGCACAGAATTGCTTTATGGTTGGATGAAATGGACTTTCCTTAAATGCCAGGCAGCAGTATTTCAGGCAAGGCCTCAGTAAACATGAGATCCAATGGATTGTTTAAATACTGAATACTAATTCCCTGATTAAGAAAAAATTTCATCTGAATACTAATTATTGATAACCATTTGATGATTTTTGTTATAGTTCTTTTTTTTTCATTGGTGTTGTCATTTCTTTCAAAGGAATGATCAATATTTTGTTCAGAAAGGTCTCAGCAAGTGTTATTTTGTATTCTTGTTCTATTTATAAAAAAGAAGACAAATTTATTTTTTATTTTAGTTCCTTTTTGAATGCTTTTTATTGGTTGTACATGTATATTCGTTTGGCCATTGATATTTTATAATTTGTGAATGTTATTTTTATTTTTAACACTTACTCTTAATAAGGAGATACACGTATGTTGGCATTGCCTGAAATGAAGAGAAGTTCATTTGTCAAGATTGTATTTCACAATTTGAATTACTCTGCATGTCTGTTGAATGTTGCCAAATTTAAAGAGAAAATTAATTTTTGATTTTTGTTACGAATTGCAGATGATGATGATAAAGGTCATGAAGGAAGCTGCGAAGAAAGGAGACCAAGAGGAAGGTGATGATGAAGAGGAGAGTGAAGAAGAAGAGGAAGAGGAGGAGGAAGAAGAGGAGGATGATGAGGAGGAAGAAGGTAAGATACTTTAATAGTAAAATAAATCATATGTTACTTCAATATCTCACCAAGAGCAGGAGTTTGAGAGAAAATCCTTTGCATAATGAAGTGGAAAACTAATTTAATACGAAGATATGGGAAAGATAATGTACCTTTTGCCTCTGTATATTCTTTGGAATGAATTTAGTGAGTATTTTAGTGTCAAAATTTGTCATAAACTACCTGTACCTGAAACTAAATATGAATATACACCTGCATATATCATGTATGCAGTGTGAGCCTGGTAATTTATTATTGGTTTTGAGACAAATGTAGCTTTGTTGATATTGACTTAATACTGTAGGGGAGAGGGGAGGGGGGAGTAGAAGAAGTTGATAGAACAGCTACTTTACACATTCACTTTTAAATAGAGAAATAATATAATACTCAGTTTTTATATAGTGCTTATTACAATCACGAAGCGCTTCTAAACTTGGAGATTATTACCCCGGCTTTAGCTGTGCTGCCATTACCGTGCTCTAGCCAGTACTGCACTTGCAAATTGAATCAATATCTTCAACTTTATCTGTGTACATGTACATGTATGACCAACAAGACATTAATAGAGTGAAGTAAGCCACAGATACAAATACAACTAGATGATCGGTGAAAAGTTTAAGTTTGGAGCAATCATTAATAATCTTTTCTCCATCTCTTTGTGCTTACTAATTTGTATCTGTTCTTCAGAGGAAGAAGTACCTGTAAAGGCACCTGTGAAGGAGACTGTTGCTAAAAAGGAAACTGCTGTGCCTGCCATGTCTGCCCCTCCCTCCGGAAGTCCAGCCCCTTCAGCAGTACAGAGCACAAGCCCTCCACCACCACCAACAATAGTCATTGAGGAAGTTGTACAGAGGGAGGATGAACAAGTGGTGGAATCAGCCAGACAGCCTGAGGTAGAAGAGGTGAAAGAGGAAGAGGAAGAGGAGGAGCAGAAGAGGGAAGAGGAGAAGGATGAAATAGATTCCTCCGATGTTGCTCCGGCGGAAATATCCACAGAACCAACCAAAGTAGTAGTGGATCAAGGAGAACGGGTACAAGATGAAGAGAAGGAGGTAGAAGAACAAAGAGAAGAGGATGACACTGATGGAGGATTGAGGGATAGTACAAGGGTTGCGGATAACAACACTAATGATCAGCAGGAAGAGGAGGAGGAAGAAGAGCAAGAGGAAGAGAGAGAGGAGGAGCAGGGGGAGGATGATGCGGATGATGAGGAGAGCCTCAAAGATTCTAAGAAAGATGAAGATGATGACTTCTGGTCTGCAGAGGGCTCAGATGCTGAGGAAGAAGGTATGCTATTAACTCGTTGACAACTGGATTCTCGCATTCACATAGGTTTAATACAGGAGCCACCTGGTTCCAGTAGGCAATGGATTAAGGCTTCTGTTTCATCCCTTCACAATGGATGCTATTATCTAGCATTCCTTAACCAGTAAACAACTGAATTCATTCACTGCCATAGGCTTAATACAGGGGCCACCCGGTTCCAGGTGGCAATGGGGTGTCTTGTTGAGTGGTAGAATTGTGCATATAAAGATTAGTGTTCAAATGTTGGACAAAAATCCTATTTATAAAGTTTGAAGCAAACTCTTGTTGAGAAGTGCGATCAAATAATAATAATTTGAAAACCAACTCCTGTTATCCACCTAGAAGATATCATTCTGCCTTTATACCCTTTTTAAAATGTAAAGTTTTAGTCTACATGTATGTAGTGGTAGAAGTTGTTAATTTGATTACATGATTATTAATGGGCCATGCACTTTTGAAAAATGAAAATGTTATAAACCTTCATGTTATTGAGTGCACCTACATGCACATGTAATTTTTGAATTGCAACATATCCAGAAAATGACAAAAAAACTCTTTTGTGTATTTTGGCACAATGAAACAAAATTGGTTAACTCTTGAGAATCTATGCTACAATATGCTGGTATTTTCACCCTTTTCCCAATCCCATTTTTAAACTGCAGTTGAGAAACCCAGCATTGTGGAGCCATCTGGTCCCCCTAAGATACCCCCTGAGCTACCCCCTGGGCTCCCACCAACCCAAGAGGAGGATGCTGGTTACCTAGATACAGGAGAAAAGCCACGGGCCCTCAGCAACATCCCTGATCTACCGGCAGATCTCGATGTGGGAGCGGAAGAGAAGCAAGAAGAAATAGAGGAAGAGGTCAGAGACAGTTATATCTTTGTCCAGACGGTTATCTTTTTTGGATGACCACTCAGCATTTAAACCATCAATCAGTTGGAAATATGACAAAGTCTCAAATAGAGCAAAATGCTTATTGATCGATCCCATCCAGTTTTGTGGGCATCAAAGTCCGCTCAAGAAATTGAGTGATGAAGAATGTGTTTGGAAAAATAATTTTTTATTTCACTTCCAAAAACAGAAATTATTATCGCTTTATGAAGGTTAACCGTTTTATCCGTGGAAGATTAAAAAGCATTTGAAATCACAATTTCACTCTTCAAATGCCAAAGATGATTTTCCCCAAGCAAGTCGGCTCTGAAGGGCTTATGAGCTTGAAACACATTTTCGGTTATAAATGGTCAGCTTGATTATAATTCCATTGACTTCCAATATTTAAGTCTCATTTGTTCTCTCAAACACATTTAGGATTTTCCAGTATTTTAAATGATATCGCTTTTACAAGTGATGAGAAATAAAATCAAAACCTTGATCTCCTACACATTTTTTTTCTTCTTGCTGGAGCATAGGTCCGATCGCAAGTATTAGATAACAATTCTTCTGTATACATGTACATGTATCATTCACTCAACCATTCTTTTTTAATCATTATCTTTTTAGGATGATGATGATGAGCCTGATCCATTTGCCCCACCTGAACCTCCACCAGCAGAAGAAGAACCAGAAGATGATCAAGAGGAGGAGGAAGAAGAGGAGGAAGAGAAGAGTGCAGATACCGGTCCTCTACCCACCGTCCTAGACAGAGAGCCCCCTGAACTCCCCCCAGAACTACCCCAAGAAGATGAGGAGGACACCAGTAAGAAGACAAAGACCAAGAAAGAAGATATCAGGTAATATCCCAGTGAAACGGCCAAAACGACTCTACATGTAGCTGATCGATTCTTGGTCATTTGGGTTCATGTAGATTTTGTTCAATTTGTTGTCAGTCTTGTGTTGGTGTTGGGATAGGGTCATGGATAATGTTACTATAGAGGTTAAGGTGAGGTTTCAGACGAAAGAGGAGGGGGGGGGGGGGGGAGCTAAGAGCACAGATACCGGTCCTTGACAGACCCTCCTGAAAATGATGATGACACACACCAGCAATAAAATATAGACCTCAGTGACCACACAGCCAAACTGACTATGAACTGATTTGTACATTTTGGGGTGTTGTCAATTTTTGCTTCGTCTGTCATCAATCTTGATCGTGTGAGTAAGGGATAACATGATAATGCAGTGGCCCGTCATTTTCTCTGGCAACAATTGCTCTTGGCATTCGAAGATAGAGGGTTTAGGGTAGAATTTTGGTTTAGGTTAGGTTAAGGGTGGGTCAGGGTGATGAAATAGGCTCAGTGCTTCATAGTACATTATTGAATCCAGGGAAGTCAGTGTTAGCTCTTACAAGACCAAAAAGACTTCTTTTTTTACCAAGAGTTAGAAATGATATGCCTTGTCGTAAGTTATTCTTGAATGCTTGAAAGCTTTACTTTGGCATCAGAGATGACGATTTCCTTATCGTTTGAGAAAGTAAATTTCATTTCAAAATTTAAACATTACCTGTGAATATAAGAGAGATACACACTTCTGCATATTGCTGCAAAACATTCATGTAGATGTTAGCCCTCATGATATAGGGCCATATGAATTCATGTATCGTTGAGAAAGTGGAATTCATTTAAAATTCAAACATTACCAGTGAATATAAGAGAGATATGCCGTTCCACATACAGGTGAGAAACGTGTTGTTTGAATTCAATTGAAGATACATTATTGTAGATGTATTAAAGCTCATGTGAAATGAGACCATATAAATTCACAAACTACATTAACATTTTTTTGTCCTGCATCATTTGCAGTAGTGGGATCTTCGGTGATGATGACGATGACGACGGTCTGTTCTCCATCCCTATCTCGTCCACCAAGAAAGCTGCCAAGAAGAAGCCCACTCCAGCAAAGACCACAGTGAAACCAGCCGAAGACGATGATGTAAGTATCTTCAATGGACAATAAGTTTGTGTAAATATTGTATGTAGGATGGGATGTTAAGAAAAGGGGCGAACTTTGGAGGAGTCTGCAAAACGAGGTTTTAACTAGCTTTTGTGCAATAGGGAATATATTGTTTATTTCTTACTATTTGTATTCTCCGTTTGTTCAGCTTTCCATTGAAATAAAGTTTTTTCATCGGATAGGGTCTTAAATTCTATACCTGGGAAGTGTTTCACAAAGACTAAGATCAACTTTAAGTTGGACATAACTATGGCAGGCCGTTCATGCCACTGTTTTCTCTCACCATTTACTGGCATTGGTCTCTCAAGGGACGTACAAATCATGGTCACAAATCTACAGAATTTGAATTTTTTGATATTGAAGGAAAAAATGTTATCTAAAGATCATAATTGTGAGTGCAACCAGCGACATGAATGGCCTGCCATAGTTAAGTTCAAATTGAAATTGATCTTAGTTTTTTTGAAACACTCCCCAGGTCTTAGAAGTGGGTCATTTTGGGTAAGTTTCTTTTGCCAGATTTTACCACAATGTTTTTTGTTTTCTTTATTTTGTCCATACAGCCTTTCAAACCTGGACCACCCCCGCCCCTCTTTGGAGATGACGATGATGATGACCTGGATTGGATTAGCTGATCTCGCAGCTTAATCCTAATCCATTAATCTCTTCAGTATTTTGCAATAGTAGTGAATGGGCAAGTATCCCTAATAGAGCTGTACTGTAATTCTATATCATGGTTGTGATTGTTATGTGTTTTAAAGTTTATGCGTAAGGAGGATTAAAAGTTTCTATTTTGTGAAGTGCTAATGTCCTTAATCTTTTCATAACCATCATTGAGTGAAAAATAAAAAATAAAGTTTACAGTAAATTCTGGTTCATGTATGGTTTCTGACATAAGTAGTTGACAAAGGCACTCATAATATTTTGTTGTAACATTGCAGTACTTGTGCTTAAAATTTGTGAAAGTTGGGATTTTTTAAAACATCAACTTCTAGTCATTTGAAAATCAGTACTAAACATTTTTTGGTACTCTTTTTTTTATATGAAGTGGATATAGAGCCGGATGGATTGTGGAAAAATTATTTGTGAATTTCTTCTAATTCTCTTTTGTCATTTGTTTTTTTCTGAAAAATGTTTTTTTTTTTACTGTGAGTCCACGATGTCTTAGTTGTGTCAATATTTTGTTGTTAGGCCAGATTTCCATTAAGAAGTTTTTCAAATTAAAAAGTCACCACCTTTTTCTTAATACTAATAGGAATATTACTCACAAATCTGTGGTTTAACAATTGCTTCTTTTTTTATTTGCATGTTTGATGTATGTAATGGTGTTTGTTCCAAGAATTATAACAAAGGAATTATAACAAAGGAACTATAACAAAGGAACTATAAAAAAGGAACTATAAAAAAGGAATTATAAAAAAATCATATATAATGCCTGCTTTTTTGACATACATGTAAATATATATTGCCCAATCAAATTTAATGGACAACTTATACATTTATAAAGTGAAATTAATTTTCATAATCGAAATGCTCATATTACTTGTGTCTCTTTTATGTTTGTTTGCATTAAGTTGTGCTATTACACTGAGACAAGTTCATTTTCATATTTTCTCCTTCTTGTGATATTCATGAAAGAAATATCATGATACCAGCAGTATAATTTATATATTTGATAAATTTATTTTCACAACTAAATATTTGTCATTGATTGAATTCTGTTTCATACTTCTATCTCAATATATCCAATATTCTTTAACAACCGTTGTAACTTCATGTTAAATGAATCCTTGCAGAAACCTACATGTACATGTACATGTAATCCAATACTGTTTCTTACAGAATTTATGAATTTATGAGTTTGTGAATTTCAGTAGTATGAACATTTCATATCTAATGGTTATCTACAAGGAAGGACAAAAATATATATCATATTTGAGAATTACTGTTTTCATTCCCTTATTGAGCTAAAAGTGATTAGAGATTGGAGCTTTTGTGATACATTTATAATCTAGAGCTTGAAGCTGAACATTCCTATTTAAAAAAAAAACATTATACTGAAAAATTGCATTATGAGAAAGAAGTACAATACATGTTAGTTTCAATTTATTTTTACAAAAAGTTGTAATATTTGAACATGAAACAACAATAGCATTAATATTTATATATGAACTTTGTGAAGCAATGACAAAAAAAAATGTTTTGAAAAGAGAGGGAGAGAGAGAGAGTGGGTGTTGGTGTACTTTTATTTGTTGCGTATTAATATCACCTTAATGTAATTGTATGTTTAAATACTTCACAGCTTCTTTTTTAAACTAAAATGAATTAATTCCAACTGATGTTGTGAAGATCTTGTAGACATTTAATAGGGAATGAATTTGCTAGATATGTGTTTACCCTTTGATTACATCTCTTAACAAGTGTTTTATAGAAAAGAACAGAAAATTAATAAGAGCATTGAAATTTTAAGTTAGGATGTATGTGCCTTATATGAGAAATAAATTTGCATACGTCAAGTTTTGTGCAACTTCTGTCGCCTACTTAAATTGAGATATGAATAGAAGTTATGTCTTAAAATGATATATGTAACTGAAGTGGTATGAATGAATAACCTTCTTTAAATGAAGAAATTTGCGGAAAATATACATGCTGTCATTATGTGTATTATATCATTTAAATATGTCAGAAATTTACTTTAACAGAGATTTATTAAAGAAACTAAATGATCACAAGTTCATGGAGTATTTTCTTTATCTGTTTAGCCGAGTGCATGTATGTACTTATGAAGCTGTTAGCAAGAATCCATTGTGATTGATGAGGGGGGGGGGGGGGTCAGAATGATGATGGATGGTGATATTGGAGATGATGATGGAGATGATGATGTTAATGATGATGATGCTCAAGATTAAAATGATAATGATGATGAAATGACGAAAACGACCTCGACATAGATACATGCCATGCTAAATTTGATGATAAAGATGATGATGTTCTATTTTATAGATAACGTAATTATATAACCAGGGTGTGTATATGTGTGTAGGAGCGTTGGATCGGGTATACTTATAACATTTGACTTATGTGAGCTTACAATTTTTACTGTAATATAATAATATATAATTATAATTACTATAATTATAATAATCAATAATTATGGCAAACATTTAATTTAATTTAATTTTAAGGAAGAAAAAGGAAAATCTAAATGTTATTGAATTTAAAGACAACGTGCATCACATTCAAGAGCTATATTATGTTAATGATGCATTCAATAATGCTTTTATAATTTTGGACAAGACTTCGCTTACAAAATAGTCAATAATAAGAATAATTTTTTTGAAATACTTAAATGATAACGTTGATTAATCCTTGTTTTTCAATCCTACACGTATTCATGAGATTTTAGAAATAGTTCGTTGTTTAAAATGCAGTAAATCTAGCGGCTATGTTGAAATAAAAAATCACTTCATAGCATCCCCATTATCACATATCTTTAATATCTCTTAACACAGGTATTTTTCCTGACCCACTAAACAATGAGAACACACTTCCGATATATAAAAAAGATGATCAATCTAAAAGGACAAACTACCGACCAATTTATTTATTACAAATCATTTAATAGTGGAAAAATATAGTTCATAAACTATTATATTCTTTCTTAAAAATGAATAAATTATCAATTCCTAATAAATAAAGATTCAGAGAGAAACGCTCTACTCATGATTATGCTGTTCTACAATTATGTGACAAAAGAATACATGTATAGGTGTTTTTATTGACTTTTCGAAGGCTTTCGATACCATGGACCATCGTATATTCATTTCTAAAATTAAAAGAAAATAACGTTAGTGGGACTGCACTTTCTTGGTTTGAAGACTATTTGCGTAATAAACGTCAATATGCTATTCTAAATATAAAACATCTAATATTTCAACCGTTAGGTGCACAGTACCACAAGGCTCCACCTTGGGCTTCTTACTGTTTTTGATATATACGAACGATATTTTTAATGCATTCAGCCCTCCTAACTTACGTTTTGTTCGCAGATGATACTAACGTGTTGTCAATTCTTATTACAACCCTCAATCTAGAATGGAATCCGTTATTATTGTGGCTAAATCACATAAACTCTCTCTACATATTAATAAGACTAATTCCATTTATTTTAACAATATACACTCTAAACAGGTACTCATAATTTATATTACCCATAATCGAAAAAGAAGTTACAAAATTCTTAAGTGTAATGATTGATTCTAATCTTACTTGGAATAGTCATATTAATAACATTTGCGATTTATTCTCAAGAGGCGTGAGCATTCTATATAAATTAGAATACTATCTTCCACAAAAGTCACTATTTATGCTTTACAATTCTTAAATTTTGTCGTACATATCTTATTTATTGTAACATAATATAAGGAATTGTAATAACATGGAAATTATGTTAGTATATCGTCTCCAAAAGAAAGCACTCCGTATTTGTACACATTCACATTATATAGCCCATACTGATCTAATATTGAATGAACTAACATTAGAAATTGCAGATATTTATATTGCCAAACTGCAATCTTTTTGTATAAATTTTGGATAAATACTATTCGATTAGCATTTCGAAATATTTGTATGTACAATAGTAATATACATTCGTGAATTGCATTGATAATGGTTTTATTGAGAACAAAATAATAAGTATGCAATGCGGCCTAAACGGCCCAATTGGGCAATGTTTTACAAATGTAAAATACAATATATAAAAAAACATTCATAGCAAATGACATCAAAATTAATGAACGGAAAAATATCTAACTTTACAATTCTTATTTCTTATTTGATCTCCCTAAATCATCTTATATATATAAAGGAGATAAAGAAAAATGAAAAAGAACATGATGATATAGTACAGATGGAAAAGAAAAGAGGATGGTAAGATGGTGAGATTAAGAAGAAAATGAAAAGGAAGTAGAAGAGGAGGAGGAAGAGGATTCAAGTGTTGGGGGGGGGGGGAGGGTCGTAAGAGGAGACGGATGGTAGTGCGAATAGTAACAGTATCTACTAATATGACAAAATGTACAAATGAAAAATAAACTTTAGGTAATAGCTATTCTATAAGTAAAATGTATATTGGTTTATCAAGACTACAAAAAGGGGACTTATTATAGAAAAAGTAAAAGTAGAAGAATAAAGAGGGAAACGAGGATTGTTAGAAAACGAATGAGAATGAAGGAGAAAGGCGAGATGAAGAAGGAGGCGGAGCAGTAGAAGTGGCAGAGAAAGAGAAGAAAACTGTGACATTGGCTATGAAAGGAAATTGCAGTCATTTAAAAAACAACAAATAAATGGTTAACAGAGATTTTTAACTTCAATACAGAGGATGTAGTGTTTCCATTTTAATCAATCTACACTCTAAACATGTACTTCATAAAAATATATATATATATATGTATATATATATATATATATATATATATATATATAGATGACTTGCCCACAATTGGAAAAGAAGTCACAAAATTCTTAGGTGTAATGATTGATTCTTATCTAATTTGGAATAGTCATATTAATAACATTTGCGATTTTTCTCGAGAGGCGTAGGCATTCTATATAAATCAAAATATTATTTTTTCACAAAAGTCACTATTTATGCTTTACAGTCCTTAAATTTTGTCGTACATATCTTATTGTAACATAATATAAGGAAATAGTAATAACGTGGAAATTGTGTTAGTATATCGTCTCCAAAAGGAAGCACTCCGTATTTGTACACATTCACATTACATAGCCCATACTGATCTAATATTGAATGAACTAACAACATTAGAAATTGCAGATATTCATATTTACAAACTGCAATATTTTTGTATACATTTTGGATAAATACTATACGAATAACATTTCGAAATATTTGTATGTACAATAGTAATATACATTCTTGAATTGTATTGATAATGGTTTTATTGAGAATAAAATAATAAGAATGCATCGCGGCCTAAACGGCCGAATTGGGCAATGTTTTACAAATGTAAAATACAACATATAAAAAAACACATTCATAGCAAATGACATCAAAGTTAATGAATAATATTGTATAAAAAATATCTAACTTAACAATTCTTATTTCTTATTTTATCTCCCTAAATCATTTTATATATATAAAGGAGATAAAGAAAAGTGAAGAAGAACATGATAATGGTGTATAGTAAAGAAAGAAAAGAAGAGAGGATGGTAAGACGGTGAGATTAAGAAGAAAATGAAAAGGAAGAAGAAGAGGAAGGGAAGAAAAAGAGGACAAAGTAGAAGAGGAGGAGGAAGAATAAGAGGATTCAAGTGTTGGGGGGGGGGGGAGGGTCGTAAGAGGAGACGGATGGTAGTGCGAATAGTAACAGTATCTACTAATATGACAAAATGTACAAATGAAAAATATACTTTAGGTAATAGCTATTATATAAGTAAAATGTATATTGGTTTATCAAGACTACAAAAAGGGGACTTATTATAGAAGAAGTAAAAATATAAGAAGAAGAAGGAAGGAAACGAGGTTTGTTAGAAAACGAATGGGAAGGAAGGGGGAAGGGCGAGATGAAGAAGGAGGTGGAGCAGTAGAAGTGGCAGATAGAGAAGACAACTGTGACATTGGCCATGAAAGATAATTGCAGTCATTTAAACAATATACAAATAAACCGTTAACACAGATATTTAACTTCGATACAGAGGATGTAGTGTTTCCATTATAAGACACAAAGATTAGACCCCAGTATACCTAAAAAAAGGTATATATATAATATAATCTACATATAAAAAAAACTTGATTTCATTACATTGTGTGTATCAATAATTGAAACCATAGTTTGATTCGAGTATTGCACTTATGGGAATACATCATAATTATAAAAATGGTATATTGAACAAAAAGAACAAAATATGTTTTCGTGTATCCTACATGACACTCATTCGACTACAATTAATAATAATAAATAATAATAACAACATTTATTATGCGCACATATCCACCCCAAGAGATGCTCAGGGCGCCTAACAAGGTAAGTACATTGAACGAAAATAATTTAACATAATTAAATATAATTCAACAACGTTAATTACATCAGATTGTGAAATACACTACGTCTTAACCCAACTATTATTATGGCCTATAAATCGATAAAATCGATAAAATCGATAAAACACCATGGGCCGGATATTTGGAATGCTTTACCTGACAAAAGTTGTTTATAAGAATTCCGGATTTAGTCCGAAGGGGAACATTTGAATTAACACATAATGAATTTGAATGACAACATGATAACATTGGCAGGAGAAAACATATACTACTACTACTACTACTACTACTACTACTACTACTACTACTACTACTTCTACTACTACTACTACTACTACTACTACTAATACTACTAATACTACTACTTTTGCTGCTACTGTTACTACAGTGACTAAAATCTAAATCAATGAACTGAGATACAAACAATAGCTTTATCTCTTTATACATAGATAAAACATAGATAAAACACCATTCAATTCAATTCTATTCTAAATGGATTTTAGTAGTACTGCCTGAAATACATTTCTAATTGAAATTCACACTTTGCATATAAAACAGCATATTTATTGTCACTGCTATAATAATAACTAATACCATCTCATCGATACACATTCATATAGAAAACACACAATAACGGAGATCCTGGGTCGCAGCGCATAAGTTACATGTTTAGGCCGGCACATTTCGATGCAAACGTTGATGGTTTTTTATTTATTTATTTATTTTCCACATATGGGAAGGATCACCCTTGTCAGCTAAAAGCTGGTCTTCAAAGGGGTCCATCCACAAGACAAAAATACAAATTGTTGATAAAATACATTTGAAATATGATTGTAATGATAAATAGGCAAACAGAAATATGCAGGATAAGGGAAAGAAAGAAACAAGTAATAGAGAGGCGAGGGAGAAAACCAAGTATAAAGTTGTTGCGTTTAAAACAATCAAAACATAATAAAACAAATCATCTGATGGGGTTACTCTAAAAGAAGCGCTTAAATTCTTGGATTGAGACTATTGATTGAGCGATGGTACTAAGTGAATTCCACAGCTTTGAACCTCGATAGACAAGTGATCGTTTACCGTAATTCGTTTTGGGTTGGGATAGTTTCAATTAAAGATTCTCAGAAGACCTCTTTCGACCCCTCACCTTTTGCCGCTACGGTACATACGGTTATAATATTACACGCATAGTAAGCCTGATCGGAGATACTATCTGCACAGGGGCAGATAACGGTCATTTGTACAAATAAGGGAAATCCATCGACACGAATAATGTAAACATGTTCATGATCAATTTATGTACAGAAAGGTCATTGCATGATACATACTCAGGTGGAAGTATTCTTGTCAAGAGGGCAAACAAAGGTATTACTAATGCTCCTCCATCGCATTGGTAGTGATTATTCTAAATATAAAAGTGGGACTTCTCTAGGTATTACCACATCTATAAATATATCGGGTTTATTTGTACATTTGTCTTATTATTATTTATCTTATTAACATACAGCATTATTCTAAGTTGAGTCATATCTTCTTGGGGAGAGTCATGCTGAAGACCCATAGACTGGGCTATTCCCAAAAGCTTTACACTCCTGAGAACATCTATGAGTTGTCGCCTTGGTGCCTCCGTTCTCTTGATGCTCCCGTTCTCTCTTGCCAACTAGTCAACACAGTGAAAAAGGCACCCTCTCCTTTGCTGCTTGAAGATAGGATATTTTCTGTTTCTGTCATAGTGGATCCTAATCTGCTGGATATGGGATTGAACTTGACTACAAGAAGCTCCCTTGATAGGTCCACAAGCTGTTCGTCCGTCAGGCAATCAGGGTCTCTATGAACAGAAGAATGATGAAGGATATTAAATAATTGGGTCTCATTTTATGCCCAGGGTATCCAAGTCATAATATTTCACTTCCCGAGGGAGCTGCATTATTATTACCCCATCCATTGCCAAGTACCAAATTACACCTTGGTGGAGAGTGTCGAATGTGGATTAATGTTTTGCCAAATGACGTTAATGCCGGACTGGGATTTGGACTCTTAGCCCTTGGATTGAGAGTCAGGTGAATAAACCACTATACCACAACGCCTCTCACATACACACACACACACACACACACACACACACACAAACAAACACAGAAGATACTGCAGTTGATTGATTTTAAACACTTAGTGTACCGTATTTTTCCTCGTTAGAAAGTACACAAATTATTGCAGTTGTTTATAAATACAAAGTTGCAAGGATTATAGAATCCGCACAAATGACTACATAAAAATACCACATTTCTTTAATATTACACATGGAAGAAAACAAATTATATCAAAGTGCAATAAAAACCTGCTACATGCTACATGATGTACATGACAAAGTGAATTTCAACTACAATTCTACTTGAACCGCCTTTGCATCACACTTTTCTTGTTGTTAACTGAATCTTCTTTAATCGTTACATGTTTATCAACATGGTATTCATACATTTGACGAAGGCTAGTTTGCAACTAAATATCTCCCCAAATTTAAAATTGACGTAGAGTACCTATACATCAGTATCAGTTCATGAACATCTGTCATAAGGAGAGGAGTGGTCAGAATTTTAGAGATTTGTCACGGAAAGGAAAAAGAAAGGGTATAATTCTTTTTCAGGACAGGATCAATTCCACAGACCTATTTAGTGATGCAGAATAGCTAAGTGCTATCAAATTTCCCGAGGAAAGTTATATTTTTGTAAATATTATAGTTCATTTTGTAATAAATGTCTTCCCAGCTCAAGAAAAAAAATCCCAAGAGCCGCGGTAGTAATCTAGTGTAACATTTCAGGAACTATATCCTAACATCTCTCAAGCTCTTCTTATGAAGACATCAAAAAGAATGAATGGGTGAGAAGAAAAACTGAGAAAGATGAAGAAAATACTTGCAGAAATGTGTCTTAAATGACATCCTTTTGCACATATGTAAGTGTGGAAGAACATCAGAGAAAAATGTTTCTCTGAAAAGCATGGCCCTTCATATGCCTTCATGACAAGTAACAGCTTAAAACGGAGGCCCGATTTTTATGCTACATGTTTGTGTAGTCCTATATTTCTGTGTACAGTTACTTTACCAAGACTAGGCCAAATTTCTGATCATTTTGATGACTCCAGATCCGTGCAGTACACACCAATACTTATATGCTACATGATCATCTTTTTTTGATCGATTCCACACCGTTTCTTTCACAATGCAATCGCATGACCAGAACTCAACTTTATCTTTAAATGTGTACCAAACACTGACGCATGTTCAAAACATATTTTACTTTATATTTATGTTGAAATCACAATGTTGTGATTATTTCAAGTTTGCACCATTACAAAATGACACTGGTTAAATGTTCAGATTACTTTATTTATCTATATAATTAAAAAAAAAAAATAAGTTCCGTTAGGAATGACTAAATATTAACCTTTTCATAATGTTTCTCCACAATGGAGCAGAGTCCACCGACGTCTGCTCCGTCCAGGGCATCTTCGAGTTGTTTCCTGGTGTCACCCTTCATCCTTAGAACCCATTGAGATAGAAGGTCTCTCAGAGCCACGTTGTAATCCTCCTTACACCTCGTCAACATGGTCTTAGCTTCATTGTAGCCCACACCTATTTTCTTGCAAAACGTTGTATACTTTCCAGCTGGAATTTCTTTTGAGAGTTCGTCGAACAGAGCATCCCTGTCTACCATGATTGTTCCTGAAATGTGTTGTGGTTGATTCAGAGAACGAGACCCTGTAAAAGCAAAAAACAAAAAACAAGTAAATGTGTGGAAAGCAATGAAGAACATAATCGTTTGAAACTATAAATTGTCACAGGGTCTGGCCCGATAATTTGATTCTTGATTTATCGGGTAAATCGTGCATATATGACAAATGAACAACCGGTTTTGATAACTAAACATGCGTAATAATAATAATAATGATGTATTGTTATTTTAAAGCGAATCGTGCCCTCTCAATGCGCTTTACAATTGCAATTTATAATCAATGAAAACACCTATAAAAGATATAAGTTTTTATTGCTCTCTTAAAACTTCTTCATCTGTCATGGATAGTTGCGATACTGGCAGCAATAATGACCTTACAATGAAGAATCATTGAATTAAATTTATAAGGGTCTTTTTAAAGAAGAGAGCCACCGTTTGTTTACGTGTTAAATCACATGAAATCTGTGCTACGATGCCATAATAATAAATCATAAAATTCCATGCAAGTAGCGGATTGGTTACCCTTTTGAATAGGTGGCTCAATGAACTCTGACCGGCTTTGGTCTTTAGTTTCCTATCCGTTCTGTATGGATTTTGTTTACTTCATATCTCACGAATGACATGGTTAATGACCATGATATTTTCTTGACATGTTCCATATGCATAATTATTGATCCTAACGAAGATATTTTCTTGTACTGATGCGTGACGTCATCTAGGCGCCATTTTGTTTATTTCTATTATTGACCATATTTCCTTCATTCATTGTCATTTCTGAATGATATTGGATATTTGATCGTGGTCAAAATTCCGATTTCAGGTGAAGACTGCAAAATCTGCCATTATGGTTTCTACTAATCGTCCCACCGATGTATGTGCACGGGCCCAGAGGACTGCATTTGTTCATACGTGTGTAATATAAATGGAAGATGAGATTTTGTTAAAGACCGAATTTCTCATTCACTCTGTGTTATTACGTGATCGGCCGCGTAGTGTAGCAAATCTCCTAAAGAGCCTGTAAACACGGGAGGATATGAGTAAAAGCTCGGATCTCCTATTGAGTTTCTACATGTTCTATGTCTCGGTCAAAGCGGCAGATCACCTAATTCGTCTACGTGACGCATTCAATGTCTAGTTATCTTTGAATCACCTGTTATGTCCGTCCAGAATGTCATTGTTATTTCACTTTCCTGGTTGATGATCAAAGTAACCTCTGACCTTCGATGGAGAAGGCTCATACACTCTGTGTGCTTCGTAAGTTGCATCAACTTTTTGGCAGTAATTATCTGTTATTGTAAATAGAGGTCAAATGCGTTAAAACAGCAATGTCGAATACACCATGGACCTATCACATTTACAAGTCACGGAATATATACATATATATATATATACATATACAATATTGCGTTTGTGAATAATATATAAATATATATGACCCTTACCTCAACCCTAAAATTAAATTCAAAACAATATAACTAATTAAAATAATGTTAAACACAAATACATGTAAATATACCGTATCACTGTAGTAGGTTACCTTAGTCTGTGTACTTGGTACTGACAGGCAGCTAATAGACATGTCGATAGAATGCTCCTCCACAATCAACTCGACTTCCGGAGAGATCTTCTTGTAGTTAATCGATTCTTCTTCTGCAAGGATTTCCTTTTAGAAGTGAAATAAAATTCAGATGGGGGTAAATGTTGTGATTCCCATGAATATTGTTATCTCATAGCTAATTATCAGGAATTTCTATTGATAATCGAAATCTGACCTAAAATTTAAGCTTGAAAAACATGTGTCGCACTATAAGTTTTATTATTTAATATTGATAATATTTGTCATGGTAAGAGATCATCGATATTCGGTTTTCTTAGCACCACGTAAGACGCGATTCCAGGACAATCAATCCAGTGGGAGTTTGAGTCATAACATTTAAATCTAGTGATAAAAGTAATGAGTTGCATTCAATATTTGAAATGATACGAGACCTATACTAAATAGGCAAACAATTCCGAAGTCTACTTATTAAAATAATAAAAATAATACACGACGTCAATGATAATACTCATGATAATGATCATAAAATTGATAATGAATATTTAATTCCACAGCACACAAACATTAGAGCCCCGTCATACCAAACTAGTTCTTACTTCATTCTGGAACCGTCTTAGAAAATCGTAAAATGGGTTGTGGTCGGGGTAGAATGTGTAAATAATGTCTATAATACGATCCTATTTCGTCCTCAATACGTCCATCTCGTCTGTACCCCGTCCACAGTTAGTTCATAATAAGTTCAGATCGGGTAAATTTGCCATTTCGAGGCAGTCAGAGCCAGCCCGTAGTCAGTTTAAACCTGTTATTAATTAGTTCTCCCTCGTTCTCGATACGATCAAACTCATACTAACGAGTTCAGAGACAGTTCACCTCGTCCTAATCTCGTTCTAAGTGCGTTTGAACGCGCTCGTAGAGCTTGTGCAATCACGTCCTGGCTCAAGGGTTATAAAACCACAATGCGTTCTTGCCATTCGTTATTCCCGTTTCAAGCCCCCATCACATTGAACTAGTTCTCACTACGTTCTGGAAAATGTTGACAAAAGGGCCCAAACCGCGGCGAACGGAGTTGAACGTAGTAGCAAATGTTTACGATCTGTTTAAGAACTCCATGTATGGGCTCGGACGGACTATAAGGGAGAGTGCTGTAGAACTTTGAGCCTGTTCAAAATTTGGCCGGCCTGCAATTTGACGGAGTTAAAACGTGATTCAAACGAGGAGGACGAACTACATACGGACTGATTGCCGTACTATGAACGGAATTGCCGTACTTCGATCCTACTAAGAACTAGTTACAACGTGCTGTGGTCGAGCATCAAATTAACAGCAGCTAAGCCCCCGTAACACCAAACTAGTTCTCACTACGTTCTGGAAACATCCTAGAAAATCGTAAAAAAGGGTTATGGTCGGGGTATAATGCGTAAATAATGTCTATAATACGATCCTAGACCGTTCATAAACAGTCCTCAATACGTCCATCTCGTCTGTACCCCGTCCACAGTCAGTTCATATCAAGTTCAGATCGGGTAGATTTGCAATTTCCAAGCAGTCCAAGTCCGTCCGTAATCAGTTTAAACCAGTGTTTAATTAGTGCTACCTCGTTCCCAATTCGTCCAAACCATTCTAACTAGTCCGCAACTTGTTCTAACTAGTTTTTAACCCGACCACCTCGTGCAGGGACAGTTCAATTCGTCATCATCTCGTTCTTAGTGCGTTTGAACGCGCCCATGGACAGCGCATTCTATCCATTCCTCATTTTCGTTCAATTATAACTGCTAATTGATGCTCGACAACGTCACGTTGCAACACGTTTCTAGTAGGACCGAAGCACGACAATTCCGTTCGTAGTACGTCCATCTCGTTTTAAGTACCTTTTCAGTCCGTCTAATTGCAGGAAAGGGGAAGATTTTGAACAGGCTCAAATTTCTAGAACAACCTTCCCGTCCAAGCCAGTCTGAGCCCGTCCATGAAGTTCTTAAACAGATCGTTAACAGTTGCTGCTCCGCTCACTCCGTTCGCACACAGTTTGAGCCCGTTTTGGCAACATTTCCCAGAACGTAATGAGAACCAGTTTGGTGTGATGGGGCCTTCACTTGTATGTCTTGATCCACACAGCTTGAAGCGTTGAAGTTAAAGCCCCCATCACACCAAACTAGTTCTCACTACGTTCTGGAACCGTCCTAGAAAATCGGGGGTACAGACGAGATGGACGTATTGAGGACTGTCTATTAACGATCTAGGATCGTATTATAGATATTATTTACCCATTCTACCCCGACCATAACCCGTTTTTACAATTTTCTAGGACGGTTCCAGAACGTAGTGAGAACTAGTTTGGTTTGATGGGGGCTTAAAGAAAGTTCTAACGCGCTAAGAAAAATTTAACAAATCTCGCTACTGTGGCGAGGAGCATAAATGACAATTTACCTCACGAACAACAGGAAGCTTATTGTAGAAGCGCAAATGCAGAATTGGACGGCCCTGATCCTCCGGAAGGGTCTTAGGTATGAAGGGTGTGGAGAGCATTCGCTTTCTCCCTTGACTCTCAGAGTTTCCACAAAGCCAGATCATTGTTGGTATTCCCCAGCAAAAATGATCAAGTTGGAGCTCGAATCTGTCAGTGTGTATCACATATCTGTTGCTCTCCAAAGGAATACGCATTAACTCTCCTGTGGCGTGACAAACATATCACAGCATAATTATACTGCTATTAAAGAATCACAACATGATTATACTTTAAGACGGAAAGAAAGAAGTGGGAACTCTGGTCCCTGTTCTCTTTTTTCTTCATTTTGCTGCGTCTGTTAATATATTGCATATTTTAAAGAGATAACACAAGTACGTAGAGTTCTCAGTGAAATTGATATTATAGTATTTAAAGAAAGGAAGAAGAAAAAAACAACCTCTACCAAACAATAATATTTAACAAAAACAATATAGTACCTTCATCATCACTTTCAAAGTGTAGAACAATTCCCACCACGTCGTTATCGTTAATAACCGCACAGTGAGGCATCGATAGAGTAAGTGGCTTCTTAAAAATCGTTCCCGATGGAAAACATCTGAACCCGAAGCTCGCCACAATTTCGTTGTCTTGAAGATTGATGCTCTTTGGTAGGTCAGTGAAAACCTCGATGCTGATCTGCTCACTGTCTTCCAATGCTCCCGGAGGAATGGAAAGCTTTACATTGTGAGCAGGGATGGATAATTCCCCACCAAGATGATCCAAGTAGCCTAAAAGTTTAAACAGAATAATATCTTCAAAGTAGTCCCTCGTTCAACAAAATTGGCAAAGTATAAAAATATAAAAACATTTAAACGGCTGGTCTTTTTGGTATCTGCATGCTTATGTAAACAATGTAAAGGACTGCGAACGTTATCTAACCCAAGTGTAGATATCTGGTTTACATTCACTTGAATTCCTTTAATTGGATTGCACGGACATCGCTACAATTTATTAAAGGATATTTCCCTCAAAGACTGAGTCAAATATCGGTTTCTCAATACTTTATATTAAATATAATACCTGACACGCCGTGGATCCGCCGAAAGAAGTAAACGCCACCCCGGGACGTTATGGGTGCCAGTTGGGGACAGAGCACATGCACTGTCAATTGTAGGTCTTTTTTTGCCTTCAGATCCATTCCCGTACTAGAAAATCTAAGATCTTCCAAGTGATGTAGCTGCAAGCTCACACTACTGATGAGGCTCTTGTCATCAGACTGATAATGATCTTTCACATTGATGGTGAGATGTTGGATATTTTGATACAAGGCAGAGACCACTTCCATAACAGATATAAGGTCCTTCAGAGTAAATTGCCCCACAGTGAGTTCTAGAAAGCGCAGCCTGTGGAAAATTGACGATGTCGACGAGCGCCTATGTACCCCCTCATTCTGATAATCCTCTACGTCAAAAGCTAAGTCTAGCTTGGTCAACGCTGAGCAGTTTTGAGCAACTGCATGAAGCACATGAGGTACGTTTCCTCTTTCCGCCCTGATTCTGAGGATCTCGAGGGTTTCATTATTAGTTTCAACTGAGACGGGGTGTGGTTGGGAAAAGGAAACGCCTATCAAAATCAATTCTTTTATTCCAGGTTGTACTCGGTGCGCCTTCTTGAAACAATAGCTTAAGTTACTAGCAGCAGAACATTTCAGGGTGAGGCTTGTACTGGTTTGATTTATGACCTGAGTGAAATAAGAATTATTTGTAGATTATTGAAATAATAAATGCAAGTGTCGTGAATCGTAGCTGCAAAAGGAACAAATATCGTTCGTTCGACTAAACCCTTTTTTCGTCAAACTCAAAGTTATATTTTTCAAATTCTGAAATACAAATCTCCAAAAGAAATAAAAGAGTTCTTTCCACAGGTAACTATATTTTCAATGTTACCTTCTATTCTTTTTAAATTAATAGACCCGAACTGGGGCTGGAGTTTCGACTTGGTGAGGATGCACCTGGAGCCTGCCTGGCGGCGAAGGAGCTCCTTTGAGTAAGGCTTTTACCGATTCGGAACGTTACATTCGGTCATGGAAAGGAGAATCATTTAATTTTAACATTTCATTTTGGTTTTACTTAAGTAACATTCAGTAAGACATCAAGCAATATTAAAGTAACATTGTATACCATGATCTACAACGTATCATACTGCCTCCGGTCAACCCTTTTAGAATAATCTACGATACTTCCATCCGTTTCTTTTGTGTATGAATTCATTTCTATAAAGAATAACATGTTAGCATTAATCTAATCTTAGTACCTTTAAAATATAGGATCCACTATACTCACCTCAGCATAGTCTTGATCATCGTGATCGACCTTTTATAGAACAAACATTTATTTTACAGTTACACATTAGAAGTTATCAATATTTCTGAAATAACTAAACGTTCTGGTGAAATTTTCTAGAATAGGCCTATTAATTTATGGCACCATAATAATTAATAGATTGTGCATAGACCATACCACATAATTATCTGCTTAACTTGATAATATCATATATATATACACTATTACTGAGTATAGCGAAGAATTCTTTAATCCTGTAGAGAATGAAAAATTTTGATTAATATTACTCTTGAATTAACATTGTCTCTGGGAAAACATTTGTTGGTGATTTTCAAAGTCTGAAGTTGATCGCCAATCCCAATCACCATCATTTATAACATCTGCATATGGATAATTGCATTACGTGCATACTTGTATAGAACACAAACTGACTTGGCTCATTTACGTAGACATAGTGGCCTTGCGATTGTTTACGTAACAATAGTTTCCTTCGATTGCTTTATGATAACTGAAAACCGATGATGTTTCAAAAATCGAATATTCCGTTATACCTATGCATCACAAATCGACATGAATCACTATAATGCTATTCTGAAATAGGGAGATCCCGAAAGTGAACGTGGTGGTCTAATCTACTATGATGCAACTTATGAACTTTTCTCCTGCATTTCCAAGCATCCAATTGAAACAGAAATATTTACAAACCTCTCAGAATATTGATTGACACTAAGATAATGTATACACTGTATAGAGTTTCTACTAAACTGTTGCCTATGAAGGAATACTTGTTTAACGTCTTTTCATGAACATGATGTATTGATTTTGATAATATGATTATTCTTGACAGGTGAAATTCATATCGTCCCAGGCCTGTATTGCGTAAAGCAGAAATCATAGGGATCGATGAAAAAACTTGTGAGAAGATAGGGATTTTATATATAATAATAATAATATTGGATATTTATATAGCTCACATATCCACCCTGCAAGGTGATCAAAGCGCTCCAATATTACCCCGGCTCTGCTAGGCTACCGATTTCGGGGCCCACAGCATTCAAGGAATTCCTTCCTACCGGTCCCCATTTACTTCAGTGTGGCAAATGTAGATCAATGTCTTGCCAAAGGACATTAGGGTTCTAGGACAATTACCCCCTGGGCAGTCACCCCCGGAAAACTATCCCCCCGGAAAACTATCCCCCAAGGACAATTACCCCCCAGAAAATTACCCCCGGAGAATTACCCCCAAGGACTACTACCCCCCAAGGACAATTACCCCCCTGAAAATTACCCCCCCGGAAAATTACCCCCAAGGACAACTACCTCCCGAGGACCATTACCCCCCGAGGAATATTACCCCCCGAGGACAATTACCCCCGAGGACAATTACCCCCAAGGACAACTACCCCCCAAGGACAATTCCCCCGGAAAACTACCCCCGAGGACAATTACCCCCCGAGGAATATTACTCCCCAAGGACAATTCCTTCCCCCGGAATACTACCCCCGAGGACAATTACCCCCCGAGGACAATTGCCCCCCCTGAAAATTCCCCCCCGAGGACAACCACCCCCCGAAGATATATTCGGTCATGACCTTGATGTACGAATATGAGGATATTAGGGCCTCTCGTTGCCCTTATTTATCATGTTTTTAAATGTAATGAGTGTGGTAACAACGTAATCTCGAAATAAAAGATATAATATATATTCGGGCGACTTGCTGTCAAAATATTGTCAGCGAGCAAGGAAAAAATGCACTTTATTATCTGTAAAACTTTATTTTCTTATGTAATTACGTACTCTAACTGTTTCTGATATTTGTTTTTCACAAAATCAACGTTTTCCAATGTAACTAAGATTCTCTGGCGGCACCCCGGTTTCAAAAACGCTGCGCTGGAGTTACAAAATCAAATGAGATGAATTACCAGAAAGCAAATATTTATTTTCTTTTCCCATGGCACCGTACATATAACTTGAAGACAATTTCTATATCAAACTAATTTACCGTACAAGAAAACATATTGTACTTCAGCATGACAACATAAATATATAGATAACGTGAACGAAACCTTAATTTTGGATCATGGATAAGGGCCCATACCAGGGGCGGCGATTTATTTTCATGACGGGGGGGGGGGGGGAGCAGTGGCGTAATGAATAAAAACTTCTTTTTTTGGGGGGGGGGGGGGGCAGACAACAAAATCCGCATCCCCCCACTCCTACATGGTACATGCAGGCCCCGCAGATCGTTTTTCAAAGTGGGGGGCGCTAAAGTATTTTCGATCAGGAAGAGCAAAGCGAGCGAAGCAAGTGGAGTGTAAATTGGCGTGGGTTCCAGGGCGTAGCCCCATGAAGCTCAGGGGTTTTAGGCATTTAATAACGGCCAGATGAGCAACAAGGAGCCCGCCTTAGGGAAGCTCAGGGAAAAACCATGCCATTTCAGCAACATTTGTAAATCTCTGGTATCGAATTAGAAATAAACCACATTTGAATTTTATTCGGGGGCAACAAGCCTCCCCTCCCCTAATCATTACGCCAGTGCGAGGGAGCAGAGTGAACGAAAGGGAAGAAGGTGACGGAAGTGATAGGTTTTTGAAGTTTTGTTGTATTAACAAATTACATTCCTTAGCAAAACAATAGTATAAAACAAGCATCACACCTTCTTCACACTTCACTTTTCTACAATATTTACTCGTACACTATGAAGAATATTGTGCGAGGAGCAAAGCTCCCAAGCGAGAAGATTTTTGCCTTTTTGTTTGTCTAAACGCTGCACTCGTGGGCCCTCTTGAGCCTAAAAGTTTCTTGCAGTCTTTAGTCAGTATTTGCTATACACTTATTTTTGTGCACTTTTTCAAATTATCGGGGGGGGGGGGACGATCTCCCCTAAACAAATTGAGGGGGGACGTGTCCCCCCCCCCATCCCCCGGGATCGCCGTCCCTGGCCCATATATACAAAGACAAATACACGATCAGCTGATTATAAACGTTACAGAGGATGCATAAATAAAATCTTACATCCTAATTTAATAGTTGTGCCATTGTGGCTGTAACGCGTACTCATCTGCGCGCAATGTATTGTTATATTTCTATTTTTTACTCGGTGGCAAAACTACGGGGGAATTGGATAACCTCCACCCCCACATCGAATTGAATAATTTGAAAAGACTAAGATGAACTTCATAAATAACTTCATTACTAAGAAAATGAAGGTTTATACAATTTTCGGTAAATTAAATAGCAATTCAGAGAGAAGCTCGCATTGTACAACACAATATTACAAATTCCTCGGGGTGATTGTCATTGGGGAGTAGTTGTCTTCGGGGGGTAATTGTCCTCAGGGGTAGTTGTCCTCGGGGGGTAATTGACCTCGGGGGTAGTTGTCCTCGGGGGTAATTGTCCTCGGGGGGGGGGGAATTGTCCTCGGGGGGTAATTGTCCTCGGGGGTAATTGTCCTCGGGGGTAATTCTCCCAAAAAAAAGCTGTAAAGGAGTAAAAAAGGGTTTGTACTCTTAATCCAAAAGAACATAACAATAATAAAAACCTGAATTAATTCACATATAAAATTCCATTCAAAGAAAAGGAAAGTTGACAGGAATTAAATTTCCTTAACATTCCGCATGCCACTTATATTTATCAATGGAGGTTTTTATAATGGCGATACGCGCATATCGTGGAAATATTGTGAGAGGATGGGAAAGCGTGTGTTTTTTTATAGGGGTGAGAAGACATGAGCCCCTGAACGCTGGCGTACTGATGGGGGGGGGGGGGGGGTTATTTCTAATTCGATACCAGTGATTTACAAATGTTGCTGAAATTACATGATTTTCCGGTATTTTGTCTCAATTTTTTGTAAATCATACCTTTTTATGCGTTTGTTGGAAAATTACTAATTCCCAAATTAACAGTCGGCCATCTCTCTTTAGTAGACACCTTCCTATCAGTGGCCACTAAAAATTGGTTCCCATGGATATAAATTAGGTGTTTAAGAACCTGTCTGCAGCAGCCACCTGTCTATAAAGTCCATTTTTTGTTTCCCCTGGGTAGCCATTATAGTTGGTTTTCCTTTGCATAAGTTGTTATGCTTATTATTAATGTTATTATTTGTATTATTATTATAATCATCATTTTGTATCATTATTATTATTATTATTGTTATTATTATTATTATACTATTATTAATATTATCATTGTTGTTGTTGTTTTTGTCATCATCGTTTTTATCATTCTGACAGTGTTTCAGGAGTATTGTAATTCTAATCAACGCCGAACACACATAATACATGGGTCCCCGGTCTTCTGTCTTCGTTTTCCAAAACACCCTGGGGTATTTTGGAAAACTAAGATCGAAGACCGGGGATCGTTTCTTCCTCTCTCTCTCTCTCTCTGTCTCCCTC